CAGAGCTATCTTGGGCTTAATTCCTGACGCATGTCTGACTGCCATATGTTCGTTCAATCTTATGTCAGAATTTCCTGGTATCAGTACGGTAAGGGTGAGAAAAATAGAAAAGAAAACTCTGCCTTATCAAGAAAGTAATTAGTGCAAACCGAATGGACAAAAAGAGATACTGTTATTGCAGGGCTGGAAAAGGCAAATTATAATTCTTGGTTATCCGAGTACCCCAGTTGCTGATTAAGGGCATGAGTCCAACAGAACAAGTTTTTTTGTCCTTAATTACTATCTCCTCTCTTAATTATAAGATTTTATTTATAAACAATCAAGGAGTGATATTGGCTGATTGTGAAGATGTGAAAACAATAATATAAAAAGTAAATACAAGTACGACATCTTCGTCCCTCAGCATTTGAGTTTCTCTTCTTTTGCAATTGAGTTTTTGCAGTGAGCAATTGCAGCTTGAATGGCAGCCTGCAACTCTTCCATGGTACTATCATTAGCAGGAGGAAGAGTCATAGTAGGAAGGAGGAGGCCACTATTACTTGGAGATGTCCTTATTGATGCTGGTGCTGAATATTCTCCTCTTCTTCCTCTTAATTCTGCCTTATTTCTGACGCTAAAATTTTCTGAATACGAATAACTCTGTCGACGGACTCTAATTCTCTGTCTTCTCCCTGTAAAACTCGACATTAATGGTTGCACCATTCTTAAGTACCTTTTCAACACATGGACAACCTGAAACTTCTGTTTCTTTTTCTGCTTCTCTGTATCTTCTTCCTTATCTCTGACTTCACACCCTTTTCGCCCTCTTAACCGGAACAATGAGAAAGACTTGGACTTGCCTCTTCCTTCTTCTTCCTTTGTTCTTCCATTGTTGTCACTGTTGACTTCTTCATAGTTGTCCAGGGCCATGTTGCTTCCACAGAGATCTTCCTTGCTGGGTATTTCATCCTGTATTAATTCTGTGATGGGGAGGGTGAAACTGTCCATGGATTTGGTGGAAGAACGAGGAGAAACAGAGAGGTGGGAAAGGAAGTGAAGAGGAAGCAAGTGGCCATGGAAGAAAATGTCATCAGCAGGAGATAAATCAAGTGCAGATGAATTAGGTGAAGTTGTAGATTTATGAGTACTAGTAGGGTTTGTAGTTGAGGAAGACGAGTATAGAGAGACAGAGAAGGAAAATTCGTGAGAAGGAGAGGAGGATGCAGAAAAGGAGATTCTGTAGATGATGATTGCTTTGCTGATTGGCCTTCAATTATCTTTTCCACATCGTTTTCTGTGTAATTTTGTTGCTGATGCTTTTCCATGACAAAAATTTTCCCTCCTAACACAAACAAGATTTGATGCAGTGCCTGAACTCCTCGCTCTACAATCTTTCCTGTTTTTTTTTTGGTAGGAGAGATTCTCTTTTTCTTGATGTATGGAACTAACCAAGCTTTGGGAGGGATAAAGGGATTGGAAAAGCAGAGGAAGAGAGAGAGAGAGAACAAACAAGAGAGTCTTTGTCAAACCAGAAGCGGACTTGGAATGTCTCGCTTGAATATCATCATCAAGAAAACTTACCTGCGTACATTATTTTAGATTTTAGGAAGCATTATCGTCGAGTTGTTTTTTCATACTTTGTTACTACCACCACTATCCACACGGATGATTGGTGGTGACCCTAAAGCTAGAGTAAAATAAATACACAACACTTTGGTGTGTCAAAAAGAGTTGTTGCTTTGGTAGGTCCAGGTCAAGTCGTACACAGCAAATGCCGGTACTGATTTTGGAAATGAGGTAAGAAAAATCCAAACTTGGCCACCAAAGGAAGATGGGATTGGCACGGCGGACTGCACTTTAGAAAATGTGTCTTTATTTTGGAGTAGTTTATGCAAAAGGGAGGGGTCCCCAGTGAAAGAATTAAGCTGCCACGAGCATAATGATGGGAGAAAAAAAAATGGAATCTTTGAATTCATATACAGCTGCGGAGAAATTATCTGCTTCTTTCGTTGTCATTGGGTTCGTTCCTCGTGTGCATTCAAAAAGCAAAATGATCGGCCAACGTTGCTACTTAGTGATTAATTAATTAATTAATCAGTTTAAGACAAAGTTGGGTTTTACGTCAACCAGAAAAAAGGCCTTCGACTTTTGGCGTTGAAAATGATGCCACTAATTAACTTTTTTGAGTTGGATGAGATGGATGATCATATCTTAAATGTCAATCTAATGGAACGCCACATTCAAAGCAAGTTGCGATGCGATTATTGGTCCAGCAGGTTCTCGTGAATGATAGGGCTCGTAGGAAGACAAACTATTTATTTATATATAAATGCAACTAAGGATGATAGAAGAAGAATCCAATCCTAAAAGACTAACCTAGAACTCATATAAATCATACTCTTCCGATTCTAAATATAAGATCTTTATACACACTAATATAAAGATTTTATATTTAGGGCCGGAAAAGTATCATGTTTATAAGATTTCTCAATATAAAACTCATGACAGATCATGAGCGTTTAGATTGTTACAGTGGTAGAATTGATTAATGAAGAAGAAAAGTGGAATGAAGGAGGAGGAGAGAGGACAGGGGGGTGAGTCCAAAAGCAAAGATTGATCGGAATCGATGCGCAGAGAGAGGAGACCCACACGCACGTGTATAAGCTTAAGGTGGTCCATCCAACGTATAAAGGAATTTTGCAGTGTTGGTTAGCCTCTCCATTTCTGCATCAATCATCATGCATGCATTATGTGGTTGGATTCACTGCCTCATCTTCATCCATCCTCGTTTTGTTCGTTTCTTTCTCAATCAACGCCCGCTGATTTCAATGTTTATTGGGCTTTTTTTTTTCCCCCTTACAGGAGGATATCGAACTCACAATCTTGTCTACGAGAAGAAATATGAGGTGTCATGTGAACTATAAGTTACTAATATACGTAAATAATTTCATGAATAATCTATCACGAAAAACGTGTCTGTGTAATATAATACGTAACAATTGTTGTGCTATATGATACTCCTCCGGTCCTTAATGTGAGACCCATTTAACTAATTTGATTAGATTAAGGAAGTTAGGTAAGTTAGTTAATTATAAGAAACGAAACACATTTTTTCTAAAACACCATAATCATCTTTCTTAATACCCCATTTCCCTCTTCTACTTGGTTATGGTTGAGGAGTATCCATAGGGGTAATTTAGAGAAAATTGATAAATATAAAAAAATGAGTCCTATATTTAGGATCAAAACCAACTCAACAATTGGATCTTATATTAAGGACCGGAGGAGTATGATATATTTTGAACCATATATATCCACCTCACAGTTACAGTTGTCTATATCAAATACTCCTCCGGTCCTAATTATAAGACCCAATTGACTTATTTGAGGAGATTAAGGAAGTAAGTTAAGTTGGTTATTTATAATAAATAAGTGTTGTCATTCCTAAAATATCCTTGTTAATTAAGTATATTGGCTAAAACTATCATTATTAGAAGGATTATCTTGGAAAAAAATGTATAAATATAAGAGACAAAATGGATTGGGTCTTATAATTAGGACCAAATAAAAAGTCAAATTGGGTCTTATAATAAGGACCGGAGGAGTATCAGATATTTGAAGATTAAAAAGAATTACTAAATGTCACATGTGCCTGCTTCAATAAATACCACGGCATTAAAAACGATTTTTTTAAAAAAAATTAATTTGTCTTAATGGTAAAATTCTTAGAAAATAAAATTATATATTCATTATTTATAATATTAAGGAATATATATAGGTGAAAATAGCCAGAGTTAGAAGGGGAAAATCGGAGCAAGACTTTACAATTCTTCGTTTTCAGTACATTTTTAAAAATACTCAACCATAAAAATACAGGGAAAAATTAATTTAGATAATCATATGATATTTTTGCGAGTTATTAAGTATACGTAAATACTCTGGTCAAAAAGGTATACGTAAATACAAAACAAGATGTCAAAAGGAGACATTTCAAAAGTGATGATGGATTATGAATATTTCAAAAAAGATGGCACACGGCATCATATTGTCATATCGGCCATTGGCACTGTAAAGTGTAAAGTCACATGGCAACCCGCTTTTTTTCCTTTTTAATATTAGACGAATGCACATTATATAGAATATAAGAAATCATTTGTATATCTATAATTAATAAATAGTAATTTCTTAATGTTTTTATGTTTTATATATTTTATATTAACATCGATTATTGATGTGTGGGTTCATGCTCTCATCATTTTCCCTAGCATGGTAAATAAAAAGAGAAAAAGCTGGTAAAATAAAAAATAAAAAGAGAAGAAAAGGGGCAAGTTAGAGTTCCGTGTATAGAGAAAAGATTCACTATAGGAGAGTTTGGCAATACTTAAAGTTAAAATCATTTGGAAAAATTATATTTGAGGTACCTATTTTTTCTCAATTTTTAATTTGGTATCTTCGTGTTTTTTCTCTTAATTAAATTATGTAATTTTACCTTTTTAGTAATATTAATTCTTGCATTTTTGTTCTATTAACATTTTTAGTTTCTATGAAAGGATAAATGACGCTAATAGAACAAAATTAAAAATTTAATTAAGAAAAAAAAACACATATTCACATAGATATCAAATTAAAAAGAAAAAAAACAACTACCTCCAATATGGTTTTTTTTCAAAGTATATTCACAAAACCCTTCTCACGTACTTATTTAGTACATGATAAAATTATTTCTAAAAAACTAATATAAATACATAGGAACCTATGATCCGGAACATGTCCTTGTCCTATAACCCCTTGTAGTTATATGTCTCGGTATTTACATGTGCAAACACACCGCTGGGCGGGGCCATGTATTTTTTCCTTCTTTTTTATTTTTTTTTGTTTTGAACCTTTTTGCCAGCGGGGCCATGAATCTAATGCCCCACCCGACTCATACCCGTCCTCTTGGGGCCGACTTGATTAAATTACATGGCCTGACAACGCCAAACAAATCAAATTGATCAACACCCCGAATTATTTTATTGGTGCACACACGCAAATACATGAAATGGTTGTAGACACCATCGAAGATCTTTGTCCCCTTCGCATGCATCAAATAAACGTAAAATCAAGAACATTTCTATTACAAGGGTGAAGGGGAGAAAAATCCAATCTGGCTAAATCGGGGGGGGGGGGGGAATGTAATGGATAACATTTCTATTACTGGACTGGGGTTAATGTTCGTTCAGTAATAACCAAAATCTAATGCCACAACAACAAATCATTTAAACGGCTCAATACACTTCTAACCTAACGGGGGATTGAATTCCCGACAGCACATTTTACAACAAAAGCCCCTTCTTTTAAGGTCCATACCGTGATTCCAAAGGACCCATATACAAATGAACGGATTCGGCGCAGAATAATTATAGAAAAGAATCAATGGCCACCAACATCCTATTTTCTTATTGTACACTGCGGTTAATACAGCCTTCCACAGCACTTGGGCGGTTGCTATTCCACTTCTCCAAGTCAGAAATCACATAACATGCAATTGGCGTTCTGACTCTGAAGCACTGGGAAAAGGACAAATCCATATCAATTTTGACGTGTAATTTCAAACAGATCCAAAATCTCGAGAAGCTCCATGACAATGGAGGGAAGTCACTGTTCGGAAGTTAAATCCTCCCACTAAGAATCATTAGCTCTCTCAAAATGCAAATACACACGCGAATTCGTTAGTCACTCCCGCTGCCACGTCTATCTGAAAGCAAAAGATCAAAGAATAATTTACTATAAGCCTATTACCTGTGTATCATTGCAAGGCAGAAAATAGAAGTGTGCGCGTGTGCGTGGTGGAAAGGGTCAGGGTTACCAAATCACCTAATTTTCTCTTCCCTTCCATGGCTTCTTTCTTGTCTTGGCAACTTCGGCAAAGGAATGGACCGTCCCAGGGACGCAATTTCCCCAGGTTGGATGCCCCTTCGTGTACTGATATACCCTCCCCAGGCTTCATCTCAACTTGACAGACTGCACAGGTAAACAACTTGAACATGTTGCAGAGTGGATATTTCGTATCTAACCTGGATTACAGATGAAAAGGTTTTAGCGTTAGGAGACACAACACAGAGCATGCAGCTAACTTCAATGCTTTTTACGCAACCAAACCTTTCTGAAAGCATAGCAGATCCTTCCTCGTACATCTCCATTACCACATCAGGCTCCATATAATCTTTCTCATTATAAGAAGATGATTCCGCAGATTTTCTCCGAAACATGGATTTAAACATTCCTTTCATTGGTCTTTTAACTTGTGTCAAAGGAGGAGCAGGTGGTTTCTCTTGGGGCAGAATATCAATAACAACGCAGGTTGTGTCATCTCTAAGCCCCTTTGCTTGTACCGCCTCCTAGAGTTGAAAAGAGAAATGGAATAAAGGGTAATAATAGGCAATTAGTGCAACAAAATGACAAATTAAAGCAGATGGTGTTGAAATCACAATCAAATTAAGCAACCAACATGAAAACAAACGAACTATTTAGAATTAGAGAGACAGGTACACAAAGCATACTTTAACTATATGCGGTGCTGCAACTTCTGGTGGCATCCCACGACAACAATCAAGGGCTGTTTCTGCAGATAGAGCATCCCAAACACCATCACTGCAGATAATAAGTCTGCCTCCAGATGTGGACAGCTGCAAGAGCAGATAGAGCAATTATATAAACTAGAGCGACCTAATGAAGAGAGGCAAGTGAAAATTAACAAATAAAAAAAAACAAAAATATAATGGGCGAAAGAAGTTAGTGACAACCTTCACTTGCTTAACGTAAGGTACAGGAACAATGAATTGTCCAACATCCATATCACCAATAGATCTGGAAAGACACAAGCCACCAGGCCAACATCTCAAAGGACCAATCTACAACATAATTGTGCTAGTTAGGCATAAAATGTCATTTATGCAAATGCAGAAGCCTTTGAAGAATAAATATTGGTAAAATTAAAAAGCAATATAATAAATAAATATATGGTCAGTATGATTTTGAAATGTGAAGGACAGATTTTTCAAAGCTCAAAAGATTGTAAAACATTAGTGATCTGTCAAATAAGTATTGTTTGGTTGAAAATGTGTTCGATATCATCAAGCGTCTTCCGTTCTAATCAACGAGAGTATACTTGAATTTTTATGTAGTACACTACGAGCTGTTGCTTCTTAATTTCTCATAGCAAGTTTAACCGAACAAGATTAATTATGCCCAAAAGAGCATCAGCTAGAAGCCCCGGATCAATGCATTAGCAGTCCCACAGCTGGTGAGTGGGCCTTCTTTTTTTTTTAAAAAAAAAAATTTGTAGCCTGTTGACGCAGCCAAAATATCAGGGGAAAGAAAGGATCATAGTCAAAGGAGATGTACCTCTGCACCTCCACCAGTATTGAGCCGACCAACCTCACCTCCACTGCTCGTTATACGTGCCACCCTAACCAAAGGAAAACTAGGGATGAGGCTAAGCTGTAATGAAGTAAATCCAAAAAATGGTTCAACAAAAGCACGGCATTCATAACTTACTCCTCTTCATTGGTGTCTAGCCTATGATCCGCTGATAGGTAATAAAGCCCACCTTCAGAAGGTTCAAGTATGCATCGGGAATCACCAACAGATGCAACTGTGACAATCCAACCTTCTATAATCACAAATGTCACAGTTGTTCCTGATGTTTGAGCTGCACAAATGAAATAAGTATAAGAACCATACATCGCTGAACCTAAAATAGCTTAATAATTCTCATCAATGGCTACAAATCAAAGCCTCTTCATGGACACCAACTTATGATGCTTTACATGAGGAATATTTCATAAATCTACAAGCATGACCTATTAAACAGCCCACTAAAAAAAATATAAGAAAAATATAACCTTACATACGCAGAATCCCTAATGGATCTACTATCTACATACGCAGAATCCCACGTGGAACCTAAGCTTAAGTCTCAGGTCTTGTTGTTAATTGAAAGAAGAACTTCTCATAAAAGTCAAAATCATGCTCGCAACATAGAATGCTGCCCATATACTGGCTTCAACCCAGGAAGTATGGATCTCTAACCTGGCACAGGATTTTTTAAAGAGAAGTTTTCTCCGAATGTGAAAATGTAGAAATCTAATTATCTTGATCAATTCGCTTATTCAGGACACGGTAGCATCAAAAAGTTATAGTTGGATCTGCTGCCTGCAATAAGCACAGGTCCATATCCAGTGGGCTAATTCTAGCATTAACACACAAAGACAAAGAAACAATTCCTGTTTCTTACTGCAACTTTCTCATTCATAAACATTGGCAATCAACATCTTCAAATAAATATCAGTAGAAAAGCGTATTAGTGATGAATTGAACACAGGTAGCCACTCCTATCAGACAGAAGTTCAGTGATATTTCAAAGATTTTACAAATTTGTTAGGAAGCATCTCCATCAGAATTATTCTTTCTTCAGTGTTAACATTTTAACCTTCAGGAGCTCCATGTGATCAGCAATCACAAATACATTAGGTGATAACATAGATGGGAGCAATGAATACAATGACAGTTGTACCTGTCTCTTGAAAATCTTTATCAGTTTTTACAAAGCCCGCAACTAACGCCCTAGGCAAAGCTGCTATCCACTCATCTCTGTTAAGATCCGAAGGAATCACACTTAAAATATTATTTAGTAGATTCTCCTTGGCATAAATAGCAGCAGCAGATCCTTTGTGTCCATCAAATAGCTGCAAAACTTCGGGATTAGAAGTGGGAGGAAAACAGCCAACAAGAGAAGAATAAAACAACAGGTGCTAGGAAATAAGAGAGTGTATTGAGACCCAAAAAAAAAAAAGAAACATTCGATGCACTGGTAGCTAAAGATTCTTATGGCGATACCAAGTTAACTAATGTGAAGCTTGAACAATAAGAAATGAAAGCATAATTGATTTCATAGGTACAAATGAAAGCTTGATGATAACGATAACTGCCTAATGAAGATTATAACAGATGAAGACATCATATGCAACTCTCTAACCTTTAATCCTCTGTCTAAGTGGGTTCCAAAGCACGCAGCAAGTAAAGCAAAGTATCAAATATAGACCCAAAAATGAACAAAAGAAAAGATAGCAAAATGAGTCAAACAAAACTACTTAGTCAAGCCGCTCAAGTCACATAGTTAAGTAAATTTCGTTGTCAGTTGCGATTATTAGCATTTATCTTCGTATATAAGTTACGTAAAAGAATACATCACAAAGTGAATTAATACATCGCAAGGAAATCTATCCATTAATAAAAGCCATGCTTTTACTTTTAGCCAACAGGATGAAGGTAACATACCGCGAAAACAGAATATGTCGACACCCCGTCCCCCACCACCCTCTGGCATTCCGTTTTTAGTAGCGTGAAGTCCTCTCCCTTTTTGCTCTGGCTTGCTTGACCATGGTGAATTTCTGGTTTTTCAATTTTCTCGCTTGCTGATTCACGCTTCAGGAGCACCGAAAGGGGGACCGTATGGTGTTCGCCCTTGGTTGACATTGTCGACGCCCCTCAAGCTCAAATGCCAATATGACCAATTGCAGAAAAATGGTATAGTTCTAGTACTCCATGCTTTATTGTAACGAAATCCTGAACACAGAAACAAATACGCATTACTCAAAACATCTATTTCCACTTACTCCCAATTTAAATTCTGATCGAGCTTTTATTCCTCGAAATACGTACGGAATCAACAAAATCTCCAAACAGTGACAGGAAATTTCGACTTGTATCGGCAAGTGTTGTGAATGATGAAATCAAAACACATTATCAACACAAATTGCCCAAAATAAAAACATCGTTGATCGATCAGAATTCAGAACACAAATTGCGAGAAATACGAGAATGTGGAGTAATATACAAAAATCTAAGTCAGACAAACAGGATATTAACACTTGGGATTAAAGCGTTAAACCGAAATCCTAATCAATGGATTCCCCCGTTCGGGAAGGGGATTAAAAAGTCATGGAAGTCAAAAAGGAGGAGGAGGAGAGAACAGTAAAGGAAAGGGAGATTCAGAGAAAGAGGAGGCGAAAAGGTAAGAACATCAATCGTGCAGTGAAGTATGGAGAAATATTGAATTACATTGCTGGGTGTGATCGAAAAACTCGGATCCCGACGTCCTGCAAAAATTCCATTGTTGATAGAGGAAGAGGTTGATAAGAGAGAGAAGGAATATAGCTCCAAATAGAGCAATTTCTTGGGTGCCTTTTCCTCACTTTTTTCTGTCTTCTCAAAACACCAAAAGCGAAGATAAAGACGATGACATGGCAAAAACGCTTCGTTTCCTTCGCTGGAACTGGAACGCCGCGAGCCAGCGACAGCGTATATCCTGCGCCGTAGACCTGGTCATTTTCACTGTCTCTTTGCAGCACTCCATCAAGTGTTGAATTATTAGCCCTTGCCTTTGACTCGCACACAGCAATAATCACTCTTGTTCCCCCGCCAACTCAACTGGCATAACGAAATCGCGGTCCTTTTTTTTTTTGGTCCAAAAGAAATCGGGGTCCTTTGTCTATTTGTTTTTTCTTTTTAAAGCCGCGGTTGATTTACTTTTTTTAAAAAAAAATTAATTAAAAAAATTTTGTTAACTAAAAACAATCTCATCTAATTAATGGCCTTCCCAGTTTAATTAGTATTCTCAAGTTATTTTAAACTTAAAATTAGTTTTTATTGAACTGGGAGCATGGAATTTTATTCCCATTAACAAAAATTTGATTGATAATTAAATGTTCAAGTAATCTGTTGAAAGGAATAATATGATCAGTTATTTTTTAAGAAAATAATGAACAATTTTCTCAGTGAACCGGACATAAAAAAAATTAATAACTTTTATTTAATATTTATAATTATGGGAATCAAAATTGTGAATGGACAAATGATTTAACAGGGAAACCACAAATGATAATCATCACATGTGCCCATATGCCAGTCTGAACTAAAGGTTCTGGTCAGGAAAGCAGGGCGAAGGGGCGGCCACCGAAGCCACATGTTTTTTAAGGCTGTGTGTCCGAATGCCCAATGCTCAACACAGTGCCCTCAATCAAAGTTCCCACCCCTAAATAACAATAAATAAAAATAAGATTTAGTATTTAAAGAAATATTCTTGATAAGTTTGAAAAAAAAAAAAACCAGAGGGGTGCCAAACGGGCGGATAGCAGGGTCATGCAGGGTAGGCTACAATGAGCTTCCCTTTTTTTTTCTTCTCCTTAAAATAAATTGTCAAAATATATTTAGCGGGGAGATCAAACTTGAAACTGAAAGATAACAAGACCATTGACCCTCCTCGGAGGAGACCGCAATTATCGGAGCCAGTCACCGCTCGCAGCTCGCAAGGAGGGCCGACCTTATCTCTGCATGTGGTGCGCGTGCATTGCACTGCCAAACTGTTGGCTCTGCTGGTAAATCATTTTAATATTTTATTATACCATGATGGCCAACTTATCCTGCTTTACGTAGATATTTTATCTTCGATGATTATATAAATTTTAAAAAAAATTGTTAAAAGCTCCTACTAAAATATTTTTATCTGAAATACTTAAAATTTAAGAACTCAACCTCTTAGAGGCCCCATATAAACGAGGGCTAAAAGATCAAAATGTCTTTAATTATATAATTTCTAAAAAAATAATATAATCTTTGGTTTTTTAAATTTATCTTTATTTTGGTTTTGATCTTTTAAGTTTTAAATTATAGGTTTTGATTCTTTTGAAAAGCAAAATAGTCCAAATTTTTATTGGATTATAGGGACCAATGTTAATAATGTTATAAATAAAAAGAAACATGAAAGATCAAAATATATGGTTTGAAACTTGAGAAACAAAAATCAAAATAAAAATAAATTTAAGAGAGTAAAGTTTGTATTTTTCCTTTTCTAAAGCACCTAGATGATTGGGGCCTGTTTAGATTCACGATTAAGAATACTTATAAGCATATTTTATATTGTTTTTCATATATTTACCTCATATTTTATAAACCATAATTTAAAAATTATTTATAAACTATTTTAAACATGTCTTTGGTCCTTAGAAAAGACCTGAGAAGCTCTTGAACGATAAATTTTTTGAATGGATGTTTTTTGGGCAATTCTCCCTTAAGATTTATAGCTTTTTTTTTTTTACCTAGAATGAAATAGAAAAGATATAACTTTGTTTATATTTAAGTTGAAAACAATGTGGATGAACTACCTCCTATCTTTAATACTCCTCTGATCCTTAATATAAGACTTAATTCTTGAGTTGGTTTTGGTCCTAAATATAAGACTCATTTCTCATATTTATCAATTTTCTTTAAATTACTCCTATGAATACTCCATCAACCATAATCAAGTAGAAGAGGGAAATGGAGTATTAAGAAAGATAATTATGGTATTTTAGGAAAAATGTGTCATTTTTTTTATAATTAACTAACTTACCTAACTTCCTTAATCTAATCAAATTAGTTAAATGAGTCTTATATTAACGACCAGAGAAGTATTATTTTCGGTTTTAAATATAAGAGCTAATTGACTAATTTGAACAGATTAAAGAAATAAATTAAATTAATTATTTGTAATAAATATGTGTTATCTTTCCTAAAATATCCTTGTCAGTCAAGTTGGTTGGCTAGAACTACCATTATTAGAAGGATTATCTTAAAAGAAAGGATAAATATGATAGATAAAATGAATTAGGGTCATATATTTAGGATCAAAATAAAAATCAAATTTTTTATTTCTCTAAATTAATTAATTAAATATCATATTAAGAATTGGGGTTTTTTTCTTTGGGGGGGGGTTTTAAGGAGGTAATATTACATTGCTGGGAAATGTTGTTTTCGAAGAGACTCTGGCATGGAGGAATAGCGTTTTCCATACGGGCGTTAGGGGGTGTTTGGGTTCTTACCTAAATGTTTTTTAAAAGTAATTTTTCATAAATCGAGACAAATTTTTTTATATATTTGTTTCATATATCGTAAAATCACTTTTAAAACCATGGTTTGATTTTCATCAAACACCCCGTTGGTGGCGTCTGAATAAACCCCGCGTAAAAGTAATTTAATTGCAGACCCTGCGTGAAATACCGATCATTTTCCTAGTACTTCTCTCCTCTTAGTTTTTTAAATTCTATTCACAAGATATTTTATTAAATTTTTAATGCAAATTTATTATATTTTTTAGATATTTAAAAAAATGTGTATTTATTAAATAAGAGTAAAATTAAAAAATTATTATATTTTGATGAATAATTAATACAATTTAAGGTAAACTTGGTCTGTATGGAATATGTTAGAAGTGCCTTACAAATAAAACCTGATATAACGCTCTACCCAAAAAACTCACTTATAACATTTTTTTGTATATCAAGAAATATATTAAATTGATAAAAAATTTTATTTTACTCTGATTAAAAAAATTTATTTATATTTACAAATCATGTTCACTTTTTTCGCGTTCTCTCTCTTTTTAATAAAAATGAACTTTAAAAACAAGCATTAAATAATTATAAATTACTTATATTTAAGACAAACTTCCTTATAAGTGATTTGGATTTAGGACCAGGGTGGTCAGCGTTTTCTATTTATTATATATTTTTATAATTTATATAAAGACTTTGTAATTTTATAATTTAGCTTAGGGAATAGATACTCCAGCACTAGCTATAATTTCTCTGCAAGTTGTAAACATGCCCTGACCTTACTCCGCCAAGCTGGACGGCAAATATAGATTTTTAAAACAACTAATTTTCTTAAGGAACTATAAAAGTCACTTTGCTTTTACTTGAACAAACGGGCTAAAAACACTTACTATTTTTTTCATGTTTTTCTTATGTTTTTACTATAAATATTTTTAATAAACATGTGAAAAATGTAGTAATTATTTGACAATAACGCGAAAAGTGTATAATTTAAAGGACTTATTTAAAAATAATGTAGTTATTTTATTTTAATTAAAGAACTTGAAAATAAGAGTCAGAAAGCATGTAGATTGTTTTCTACGTAAAAATTAAAGGACTTATAATTTAAATCAATAATATTGTTTCTTATATACACAATGTTACAGAGTACTCGAGTCCCTTGGAACAAAATAGAAGGTATTGCCTGCGGGGGAATTTAATCTTTAGACTTCTCCGGGAATTAATGGTTGAATGGACCTTTTCTTTGTGTCACGATTTTTTCTTTTTTTAGTGGTTCCGAGTGCCAGAAGTAATGCCAAATCCAAACAAGTCAATTCACTGAATTCGGTACTCCTACTGGTCTTGTACGAAAACAGTCAAATACTTTATAGTACGGGTAGCGCGACGGACCTTATCAAAATGCAGCGATGGTCTCCGTATGCGGGTTGTAGGGTGTTTAATTTAGCTTATGAGAAGTAATTTTGCGATATATCGGTGACAGTAATTTTTTAAAGTGGTTTTTCTTTTCTTTTTTTTATGTGGGAGTTTTCCAAACTCTTATTTTAAAACCTACCTTGCCCATCAGATTTAGAAAATGTTTGGATGAAATCAAAAATATAGTTTTAAAAGTACTTTTATAGTGTACGAAATAAATATGTGGAGGAGTTTGTCTTATTTTGTAAAAAAATACTAACACTTTTGAGTTTTTCCAAACACCTTTTTATTCCTGGTCTGTGCGTGATGCATTGACCTGGTCTTAAGCTGTGGTTAAACTAAAATGAAAATGATTTTCAGAAACTAAAATCAATTTTTTAAATAAAATAACTTAAGAGTGATCTTGCTTCAATTCATTGCATATGCTTCTACATGACAAGTCTCATGTAGAAAAAGAAAAGAAAGAATAAAAATTAAACAATTGAGAATTAGATATTGTATAAGAATTGAACAACAATCGCAGGACCCAGAAGAGTCTATGGGATAGAAAATCTGTCAATAAAAAGAAAAGAAAACAATCACGGGATAGAAAATCTACCAAGGGACCCAGAAGAGTTCATACGCACGATCGCAGAAGATATCCGCTCCCAAAGGGAAAAATCAGCATAACAATCAACAAATCAGTACTACGGAGCTAGTGATATATGCTATTTCCTATATGTTATTATTGTCTGTTAGAACGAAGCTTTAGAAGGATATCTTAGTAAATAACTAGGAGTTAGTTACGAGCCAAGAATGATATATGTTGTGTACCTCCACCATTACCTTTTTGTGGAATGAATTTTGCACTCTCTCTCTTTTTTGTTATCAGCTAATTTAATTTTTAATCTAGTTTTCAATATAAAACCCTAATCCACTTTATTTCAAATATTTATTGACTTTTCCCTCAAATAATTTTTATAATAATCACATATGTTAAGAAATTATTATTAATAGGTAATTCAAACACATATAATTACTAGAGATATTTTAGAAAATACACATATTTTCTATAAATAATTAAATTAACTTATTTTTTTAATCTTTTCAAATTAGTCAATTAGGTTATGTATTAATAACGGGGGTAGTAATTAATAGGTCAGTCAAGACCATTTGATGGGCCAAAAGCCCAAAACGAAGGGGTGGGCCCGTGGGTGTGGGGGAATGAAAAGCATTCTGGTGAAGCAGACCCATCTATGAGGCCTGAATCACACTCCGGCGTGCGAGTGAGCAGTAAATCAGTTGAAAGTAAGGAAATGGATATGAGTTATTTTTTAGGTTAGCCAAACACCCTCAAGTCACAATTAAAACTGAAACAAGAAAGTATGAGACAACCCGGACAAAATCAGAAGAAACAGGCAAGGACAGAGGAAGGTCAATTGAAGATGAAATTAACCTGCCAGGCCTTTTAGAGACACATAAACCTTGTTGTCCCTTCAAAATACAGATATACAAGGCTAAACAATTATTTGCTCCAGCCAAAAAATTGACAGAATGTGATGGGAAGTTAAATTGAAGCCCAGCCAAGTTTATCGTTTAGGCATCGGAACTAAAAAATAATTATTTTTTTTTTTTTCATAAAAAAAAGTTACACTACTCTCTGAGTACATGCTAAATTAACGAATGCACCCCAGAAAACACAGACGAAGCCTAGTTTGTGACCCACATTAAGCACATAGAGAAGTGCGTGAACACTTCGCCGATTGGGTAATCCACAATCCTCTGATGTTTCATTACAGGAAGTTCATTATATAATAACAAGCCACTAAGTTTTCGATGACTCACTGATCAAACTGTAGTCACATAGAATGGACAAATGCGTCCCAATTTGTGAGCAACCAAGACGCCTTTCCATTTACCACTACAACCCGTTTCAGGGATCAATATTACAGAATACCATTCCCCCATCACGATTTATTCATCTACCAAAGCCATTGTTCGCACAGCTTTGAATGCTTTTCTTCGAAAAACTAGGCTGGATGGCCGTGTCTCAGAGATTGCCAACATGATTAGTCCTCTGAATTGTGACCTCCCACGAGGTTATGTCATCAGAGATGCCCTGAGGTGAATCTGAAAGACGAGAAAAGACCATCAGCAGCCAAGCATGGATTAGGGATAGGCTGGCAAGCAGTTAATCGATATCTGGAAGGTGGAGGGAAGAGACCAACACCACTACAAGAGAGAAAGAAGAGTTCCAGTAGGCCAAAAAGCAAGGGATTGACTAGGTGTGTGGTTACTCTCCTGATGGGAAGAGGATTGAGCGCTCAAGCCTATAGCGTAAATAAATAAATTTCCATTTGTCCAAGTCTGAAATGAAACTAGTTCGCTTGTGCAGTACTGAGGTGTCATTCCCAGCTGAACATAGAAAGTTAGAATCTTCCCACTAGTAGCTTATGAAGCCCAAGTCCTTCAACCATGGTAGCACCTCTGCTAGTCCATCTTTCAAACTTCTGGGTCTATAATCTAACTCCTGTTTAGCTTTATCGCAGGAATATTCCCATCGATGCCTTAAAACACAAACCGTCTGCAACAAGGTTGAGGCATGGATATTAGAAGTTTAGAACGAATCACGTTAAATGTCTGAGAACAGAACAACATCAAGGGAGAAGTCTGATCAAATATGGACAAGAAGTCATCATTTCTTTTCAGTCTAAATCATGTAACTTACTGGTGGACTGATGAGGGGAAGCTTTCCGCTGATTCGAGAGAATAAAACTGATAGCCAACCATATGCTTCAATCACCCACAGAGGGATATTAAATAATGGTCTTTTTGTATTAGTGATGATTGCAGCTATATCAAACACATGTGCGAATGATGCATTTTCACCTGTCAGCAGAAACCTATTACCGGGTTGCCCTTTTTCCATTACAGCAATGTGTCCCTCCACCACGTCATCAACATGGCTAAAAGAAAATCTATCATTTCCGTAGCCTATGTAACCAGGTAATCGTCCATTAAAACGTTCTATCATCTGAAGTGTGGCAGCATAAAAGAGCTTTTTCAGTAAGATGTAAAATGTTAATGGGATTGAAAACGAAGAGATCAGGTTAAATCATGCCACTAGTGTTTATACAAGAATTAGTAATACTCCTCCGGTCCTAATTATAAGACCCAATTGACTTATTTGAGGAGATTAAGGAAGTAAGTTAAGTTGATTATTTATAATAAATAAGTGTTGTCATTCCTAAAATATCCTTGCTAATTAAGTATATTGGCTAAAACTATCATTATTAGAAGGATTATCTTAGAAAAAAATGCATAAATATAAGAGAAAAAATAGATTGGGTCTTATAATTAGGACCAAATAAAAAGTCAAACTGGGTCTTATAATAAGGACCGGAGGAGTAACAAATAAGGTCAGAAGATTATTTCATTTCTGAATGCATTTATTCCACTAGATTGCCAGTTAAAAAATACCGCATGGCGGAATATAGTGAAAGAGAAAGTTAACGCCTCATTTATGTGCTAAGACAGGAGGAAGAGAAAGCTACTTGTGAAATAAGGGCGAGCGGGAAATTGGGCATGAAAGGATACTGGGGGCAAAAAAAAAAAAAAAATCATGCAAATTTTTCAACCATTTCATTGTCACCGTCTCGACCAAGGAGACCCTAATTTCAGTGAGATGACCTCTTCCTCACGAGCTCGGTTTGCAGTATAGAAATACTTGCGTAAAACTTAAAACTCACCCTAAAATCTGTAATGCATAAATCATCAGCCTAACCTAACATCGAAGTGCCGTTTAGTGCTTTTCTTCATTAAACCCAACCTCAACCATTTCTCCATTAATTTTACGTATACAACTAAAGGTAGAAAGCGAATTGATAAACGGATGATTAGGGACCTGAACTGCAAACTAGATGATAATTTTGCGTTAACACATAAACAACGTAAGTTGAAAACAGCTAAAATTGAATTTAAAGAGAAAGCATCAAGTGGAATCGCTAAATTGAAATCCACTTGCACCCTTAGACTTATAAGCTTCACAAATTGCCCTTGCCCGATATTTCACATAAATGAACCCGCGGGCATTGAAAAAACTCCAGGCAAAAAAGTGCCTCCTTATGCCAAGCGTATATGATATACGCCAGGTAAAACCCATATATGAGAACCCTACAAACAAGCGATCATCTTTCTCATCTGATAAAACAAGAAAAAGGAACGGCATTGCTACAAGTTGAATAAGAGTAAAGAAACAGAAACAGTACCAGCTTACAAACAATATTTCCTGCCGTAACTTTGCCAGGCCCGTAGATAACCCCGGGATAAACCACCACTAACGGCATGCCCTCGGACGCAGCTTGCAGTGCAATTTTATCCGCAGCAATCTTTGATTTCTCATATTCCGTGCAGAAAAACTTTTCATGATGGACCTGTAATTAAAATTTCCGATACCAATAAGAAAAGCTCGTGACATCTTCAGAATATAATTCTGCCGAATAAGCAACAAAATGAAAACTCTTCCCACTTGATTCTCATCGGCAATGCTTCCATCAGTTGGTCCCAGTGCAAAAAATGATGAAGTGTAAATAATTTTCTCCACTGTCTTTGTCTGCTTCACTGCCTCCAACAAATTTTTCAACCCACCAACGTTCACCTAATACAATTAAAAGAAAATTGTGAAGCTATCAGATTCAGTTATATGAAATGTATATACAGAGAAGTGAAAGGTCGTGCTCTAACAGAAAAGAATTTGGAGGGGTCGGGAAGCCAAGGCTCGACAAGAGCTGCTACGTGGAAGATGATGCGGCAGCCGGAGCAGGCAGAGAGGAAAGAAACATAGTCAGTGACATCACCGTAGACGATTTCAAGAGCTCCGGCATTGGCAGGAGAAGAAAGGGCCGAGAGATCACTGGTTGGCCTTGCGAGGACCCTAATTGAGTATCCTTTGCGGAGCAAAGCATTACAGAGCCTTCCCCCGAGGAAACCGGATGCGCCTGTAATCAGAATCTTCATCTTCTCTCTGTTTTGCTTGACCGTATTCGAAACCACTTCTCCGTCGTTCGTCCTCCACTTCAGCTCAGCCTATGTCTTGCCTCAGTTCTGGTGTTGACCCGCGATATGCGGTTTCTTCCTTTCTTTTTTCCGAATCTTCCGATGGGTGACTGCGCCCTCCCTTCATGGTTTCTGTAACATTTATAGGATTTATATTTTTGCATTTTGACGAGTTAAGTCTAATTTATTTTATTTTAAAAGATATTGTATGTTTTCATCAGATGCGAGCAAAAATATGGAAAAGGAAACGACCCGGGAAACCCCATATATTATTCGCGGGCAAAAAGGAAACCCCCATATTATTACGTAATAACAGGCGAACCACTTATTTGGAGTGGGATTTGATTTTTTTTGGGGGGATGATTTCCCCAAAAATGCTTTTTCTTGAGTATTTTTATGTAAATTGAGATATTTTTTTTTTATAAATTATGATTTGGTTTTCATCCAAACACCCATTAAGTATAATACAAAATACTGTAAAAAGATCATATGAAACTTAGTAATGAATCTGAAGTCCCAAAAATACCTAAGTGCAATTTAATTAAGTGTAAAATGACCTCTCTACCCTGATAAGATACATCCAAAGCTGTTGCAAATCAACACCCTATTCGCAGAAGGCAAGAGGAAAAAAAATACGCAAACTTCATCTTCTTTCTTCCTTACTCCCATGTGAAAATCTTGCCCACTTTATTGGCATTAATGAAGTTTGGGTATTTTTTTTTTCCTCTTGCCTTTTGTGAATAGGGTGTTGATTTTTAGGTTGAAATAGAACAACTTTTCAACAGTTTTGAGTGTATCTTAACAGGGTAGAGAAGTCATTTTGCACTTAATTAAATTGTACTCATTCCTTTGGGACTTCAGATTCATTACTAAGTTTTTTAAGACCTTTTTGTAATATTTTGTGTTCTATAAGATCCTAGTGTCATTTTTCCTTTATTTTTTTAAAACTAATTTAATTAACTTGAGATATAATTTAATATTGTTAGGGTGATAGTTTAAATTTTTTTTGCCACATTTGTTATAATTGACTGATTTATTTGTTAATACATTTAAATTAGTTAAAAAGCTTTTATACTAAAAACTGAAAGAAGTATTATATAATAAATAATAATAAATTTAAAATGTTAAAACTCAGTAGGCTAGCCCACAGCCGTAAAAGTTAAAAGAGTGAAAAAAAAATTAATTTATAAAATATTTTAATGATATATAATTATAAGCTGTGCACGTCAAATTTCAATAATTCAAATTTTTTATCTATTTATTTTCATATAGTAATAATAATAATTTTATAAAATATCAATTCGAAACATTCACTTATTGTATTTATTTAAGTGTTAAAATGTGATTAATTTGTTGAAGAAAAAGGAAAGAGAGGAATTCGGAGAGGATGCCCTGCAATTTAGACGCATAAATGAGTAGCAATGTTAAATAGTGAGCAGTACAAAAGTTGTTAAATATATTACACTTTTCATAAGCACTTTGACACCCCGTCAAGTGATATCAAACAGATAATATATACCTTCTCCGGTGGAGTAGCTGTTCAATTCATATTTCAAAGTTACAAGCTGCCTCGACCCATTCGTTGTACTCTGCTCATAGAAAACAAACAAATGATATTTAAGATTTCACCCTTTCAGCCTCCTATTTCAAGTACCGCACACGTCCGCGCCTTGGTGAATCTGCCAGGGGCCAACCATTTGCGTCCACATTTGAACGCAACATCATCACCTTCATAAGTTCGAAATCATGCTCGTCTGAGGGTTGTCAACCTGAGTCCTATGAAACTAGTCAATAATCTACAACCTCGAGCGCCGGATGCATTTTATAGGATTGAAAGAGCCATGCCTTCTTGTATTCCTGGAATTTGATTTGATATCCCAATCCTCAACGTTCTTAGGAACACATATATCAAACAACGCTTGGCCAAGAACCCCATACGCATTGATGCCCGGGCGGCTTGGTAAGTGAATTAAACTTTCCTTGCGTTCATCTGATACTGAGCCGACGCCCTTGCCCTCATAATAATTCATTGAACCAGACAACAAATCATCAGAAGCAACAGCAAAGCCCTGAAAACTGGTTGAAGTCATTGCAGCTTTCCTAAAATTACTGATTGGATATGAGATTTCATCTCCTGTTCCCTTCTTGCCCAGTCCCTCATCCCCAGTCGGTCTTTTTCTAGAAATATAAATTGCAGCTGCCTTGCCCAGGATCTCAGTGACTGCAGCCTTGTAGTCAATCAGATGGTGCCGATAATGACCTGTGACAAATTCAGGAGGAATTAAATTCAATAACAGAATGAGGGAGCCCTAGTTACTGAGCTCAGTACACTTTAATGAAACGCAGGTTTCTTGATCCTTTGTAGCCACACTCAAACAGACTAAATGATGCCATCATCAGTCAGCTCCTGCCTCTCAGCTTAGTTAACATTGACAAAAACAGGCAACCCAAAAGAAAGAAAAAACCGGTAGGTTGCTTGTCTCTGCCACAATGTTGATCTGATGTAAAATGTAAATTTAGATGAACGCAAAATGCCTCTTCCTACCAAAATAGTCAAACAACTAGTGATATGACAACCAAACTTGCATAGATGCTACCTCTTGTCTTTAATATAAGAACTAGATTGACATACAATTTGATCCTAATTATAAGACCATAATCTACTTTATCTCTCATATTTATTCATTTTTTTCCTAAGGTAGCCCTTGTAGTTACACATGTTAAATATTCTAACTAATAGGCATAATTAGTAAAGGTATTTTATGAGAGATAACACCTGTTTATTACAAATAACTACCTTAGCTAATTTTTTTAATCTACTTAAGTTAGTCAACTAACTCTTATATTAAGGATTGGAGGTAGTATTAAAGAATGATATTTTATCTTCAAGAATAAAATCATGATACGATCTTCACAGTTCAAACAGGAACTGGTCCGTCAAGTAGGATCTTCTCACAAAAGTGTAGACTGCATATGCCTACCTACATGAGGAGAGGTATCCCATTTCACCATTTTAACATCACAGCCAAGGTCTTTTAGTCGTTGGACAAAATTTGAAATAACTTGAAAAGAAGCAAGATCATCATTTTCGGAACAAAAAATGAGATATGGGGCCTGCATCCTCTGCAATAGAATATAACTCAATAAGCAGAAAATTCAAAAATCCCAACAAAAAAAAGAGAGAGGCATGAAAGCTATAAAATTCAAGAATCCCAACAGAAACAAGAGAGGCATAAAAGCTATGTTGTTTATTTTTTAACACTTACAATAGTGGAGTAAAGAGTTTGCCAATACTCAGCACGCTGTGACTCAAACCTGCTGAGGAAGAGAGCATCAAGACCAGATGCAATGCTATTTGCGATCCATGAAGCAAACCTTGGCGGATGGGACATTTTCAAAACAGATGGATGTAAAAGAAATCGGACACCCAAATCGCTGGTGAAATCAACTGGAGTGGAGTCGTAAATATAGCCACAAATAGAGTCTCTAACGAGCTGGTAATCAACCTGTAAAGTTAAAAGGGTTTAGAAGTTCAACTATCAGTAAGTCAAAAAGTTAAAAGATCAAAAAGCCACCATCCTAATAGAGAAATCCATGTCGCAGGAAACTGAGTTAAATACTTTGCCCAGGGAAATACAGGACAAATTAAACAATGAAATATATAGAATATTTGATTTTGGCTTTCAACGCTATCATGTGATATAATATATGTAATTCAAGCATCCCTTAAACTACAAATAGAAAAGACATACCATGTTATGTCCTTCGCACTTTCCCTCAATAATCTGAAATCAAAGGAAATTAAATCGTCAGAAGTCAGATTTTATTACGGTATGGTGCTAGAAAAGTTTTAACAACGAAGAAAAATAATATCACATTGATATATACTCTCAAGAAAAACAGGAAGATCAAGGCGATAGAGTATAGAACTGAATACCTGAAGAACCTCAAACATACAAGCTTTTGCACCCCCTGAAAAAGACGCAAACACTACGGGACAAGGCCCGCTTCTCAGCACCTGCATATTGACATGCATGGAGAGGCATTTCATAAGCTTCAACCAATGAATCAATTTTTTTACGGGAGTAAAAATGTATAAGTTTGGCAAAGTGTAAAAATAAAATCTCTCGATTATATTCCACTTGAAACTAGTTTTTTGGCGACCTGAACTAAGATTTGTTTACCAAAAAACTGGAGAGTTACGATCAAACTAACCTTAACAAGTTCATTAAGTATGTCAACAGCAAGACTTGTAGCTTTCTCAGGGAAGAACCTGCAATACAAGGCAAAATTATAGCGAACACTGCATTAATTTATTATGCTCCCAGATAATCCCTCGAACAGAGGGTCACGGAAAATTGAAGATCAAAGCAATTATAAAGACCCAGAACACAAGGGGAAATATGATTTCGACGGATAATAGGGTTGCCGGCTCAATCATACAGTTACTTCAGTGAAAATATCCAGATGGTAGGAAGAACTATCGACCAGCAATCTTGACATTTTCAGATTACAAAACTATCAATCTTGTAGTAAGAGTTTCAATTATCACCAGCAATTCATTTTCCCACAAAATTATAAATATATAAGGTGTAGTTGTAACGTAAGAACATAAACGGTCAATCAAGTTCAAGCACACTAGACATAAGTAAATGATTGGTCTTTAACTTCGGAATTAAGATGGAAGTGGGACGATCAGGGGTCAGCCAGATTGGCAAATAGGAACTCACATATTGAGAAACTGGGAATGACAGACGAGAGAGTTCCATCCGATAGACGAGTAGAGGTCTACGTATCTATTCAAGTGCCTCTCGTCGCTTGACATCCATGCGAATACCAAGACTATCCCTTCTGCTTTCTCAGGTACTAGATTTCTTCCCCAGTAGAACCTACCCCCAAATCCCCACATTTTCCTCTATTTCCAACAATAAATGAAACAATTCTCTACAGCAGAACTCCGAGCATTTAATTTCTAGCCTTACAGAGCTGAGAAGACAAATTCCTTAACAGCAGAGGATACAGATTGGATTAAATGAAGTAGCTTCCGAAGGTCAATACGGACTCTCTTCGCACCAGGTGGTTATCTAATCGCAGCTTTTGAAATCGGATGACGAAGATAGCGCTAGAATCGAAATTGAGCGTTCTGAAATGGTTTGGAAGTTGTCCAGCCTCAACCCAGATTTCGAAGGGGACACTCCCCAGGGCCGAAATTTACACGACAGAGAGGCACCCCTCGCTGTTGCAGTACAGGATTTGGCTTTCGGAAGATGATTTTAATTTATAAACTTGGACCAAAAAGTCAAAAAACTAATCTTGTGCCGCGTTCTCGAGATAAGCGCGATGCTTTCCCTTGATTTTGGGCGCTTGAGTGACGTTTTGTATTGATCTCAAAAAATCAGTTTGGTCCAACTTATTAAAGAATGGGGAATTCGCATATTCTTTTTTTTTTTTTGGGCAAAACCGCATATTCATTTCATTGCCCAAAAAGAGAAGTCCTTAAACTGATGATTAATCAATGCGTTGACATTGGATCATATCTTCCCCTACCATGCTTCGTCCATTTCACAGGAATTGATGCCCTGAAGGCTTAACTTGGCCGCCATAACAAAACTTTGAAACCTTGTTATGTGCATTCTTTTAGGTGAAATTATTACTACCTCTAGTTTTTAATATAAGATCTCTTTTAATTTTTATTCTGGTTTTAAATATAAGATTTCAATCCATTTTGTCTCTAATATTAATGTATTTTTTTTCCAAGTAGCCTCTCTAATAATGATAGTTTTAGCCAACACATTTGATTAGTAAGGATATTTTTATGAAAGATAACAACTATTTATTATAAATAACTAAACATATTTCTTTAATCTCCTCAAATTAGTCAATTAGCTCTTATAATTAGAATCAGAAGTAATAATAAATACAATATAATTAAATCAATAATAAATAAGAAGTTAGAAGTTATAAACTAACTAACTTTTACGGAGTTTGTTTCTTTTTTTTTCAAACGAAAAAGTGTCCTATTTTACTCATTTGATCCTACATATAAGATCCATTTTGTGGTATAAATTATACTACGAAAGAAGTCTTATAGTGAAGACGAGAAGAGTATAATACTATTGTCAATTAACATCAAATGCGTAGAGAAAGAGTATGCTGATGAACAACTATAATTTGTGTTTGTAGCGAATACTAGACCAGGATCATGCTCATCACAGTCACAAACATAATATGAAGAAATATAACTGCAAAATCTAATGACCCGTTGATTTTTCTAATTTATATTATGAAACATAAAACACAAAACTAACACCAATAACAAAGCCCAAGACACCAATAACGTTTAAATATAAGGGAAAGCAAGCCAATAAATGCCGGACCAATACAAGTTTTGGACTTAGAGATTGTTTGAATAGAAATAAAATTATAATTTTAAAAATAATTTTACTATATATAAAATAAATAAATAAAAAAAATCTTGTCTCGAATTATGTAAAAATAATTTTTAAAAGTATTTTTTGAGGATAACCAAACAACGCTTTAATCAATTGTTATGTTGGCCTTTCAATTGAGTTTAGGCTATGAATTGGAAATACTTAAATTCATATAGCATGGGTCTAATCTATAGCCCTAACTTCAAGTGAAAGACCCTTCACAAACCTTTGAGAGCCCTATTACAAAAAGACCAAAGTACAAAACTTTTGAAAACCTGCAAATGAAATAAAGGGCTCATGAAAGGCCGATGATGTTGACTGGGCTTATGGCCCAACCGATCGACCTATTAAAAAATGAGAAAAATAATAAATAAAAAAGTTAAAAAATGTAATATTTAAAATTAGGCAGCTAAAAATTGAAAATGACAAAAAGTGAAGTAGTGCATGATATGGTATTTTATAAACATAGTTAAATGACTAAAATGTCATAGATTAACAGGTTTTGAACTAGTAATAATTAGTGTAAAATAAAAAATGACAAGAAACGTATTAACAATTACAAGTTATTTATTAATAAGTTGTGAATTTATAACGACAAGTGTTGAACAATTAATGATAAGAAATATACTAATAAATACAAATTTGATGGTTTTTATTCAAATTTGATATAAGGACATTTTAGTTATTTAACTACGTTTGTAAAATACCAGATTAGATACCACTTTATTCTCTTCTCTGTCATTTTCAACTTTTAAATATCTAAATTAGGGAATGATAATTTCATGGTTCTTTTTCTAGAATTTTTTCTTGAAAAGGTGTAGGATGGATTGGTAAAATGAAAAACCCACATTAAAGAGATGTTTAGAAAATATGATCAATAAACAATGAGCTTGAGTTTGGTGGAAAGGGGGCGAGTTAAGATTCAAATCTTTATTAGAAAAAATGCTAACATTTAATGTTTTATAATACTTCATATAAAATTACTTTTAAAGGAAATAGGAATAAATTGTCAGAAAAGTTTTATTTTAATTTATATATAAATGTACTCGAAGTATTTATATTAACTAAGTAGTTGCAAACAAACAATTTGGAGAAGGAAAGTGTTGTTCGACCAGAGAGATATCAAACTTTAAAGAAGTCCAGAATCTTCATAAATTACTGGGAGAATTATAATGAGACAAAACAAGTATTAAGGTTGTCATTTTTTACTCTGAAAATTATCATTACAAATTATTTATATTATTATTAAAAAATTTAGTAATTATTTTTTTTTCAATCTTATTGTAATTCTCCTCGAATTATTTGGTGAGAAGTTTATAAACTCTGTACAATAAAATAATTGCTGGGCGAAAAAAAACAAGGTGTGGAAATTGCGTGCCCCCTAGCAAGGGCGTGAGGACGCGCTGCATTGGGGTGGGGCGGACGACTGCGGCAAATTTCGGAAGTGCATACTGAAGGGAAGAAGACATTGGCGAGGAACACTGGCGTGCACCATCGGCGGTTCACAAGCACGCTTTAGCATAATCTCCATCAATGATGATGGAACCACCAAAATGATTGGGTGGAGCACCTAATCCCAACAGCCATTGACAAAAATCGCCACGTTAGCACAAGCATGATCCAATGTTTTTTGAAAAATGCGATTAGCGATTAGCGAATAGTGATTACGAGTCTCTGGCCCCCGCCCACGCCCCCCCCCCCAAAAAAAGAAACAAAAAAAAAAGGGAGAATCGCGATTACTTTTTTTTTTTTTTTTTGGGGAACCACGATTCCTAGACTCAATTAACGGAGGAGCGAGAATAATCACGCTGCCGCTGTTCGACTCGTCGGATATCACAAACGAATCACTTTTTGGCGGTGAAAGTTGTCATTTTGAGCTTGTTTTGATTCATCGATTTATTTGGAGCGACGGCGATCTCAGATTCAAATCTTCAAATCTCTGCCCTTTTCGAAGAAAGAGAGATAAAGTGGGCAATGGTGGGATGAGGATAAAGAAGAAGAAGGGCAAGCGACAGGGCTATGGCGAGAATTGAGTGGGCTCTTCAAGGAAGAGGAAAGTGGGTTTGTTCGTACAAGAAAACCACCATCATAGTTTGCTTTTTCAACATTGCGATTGCTCTCTACTTTCTTCGCACTCTTTATGCCTCTCTTTATATCTACTCCGGAAACGTTTCGCGAAACAGTAAGTATTAATCTCAGGATTGGATTTGGTTGGCCAAAAAATAGGCGGGGATTAGATTTTGTTTTTTTTTAAATGACATTTACATTAGTGATTGTCGATGTTTCTGTTCTGCCCCCGTGTTTCCCTAATAGAGTAATGTATTGAAATAGGTTTCTGCTTGAAATTTTGTGATGGATTTCACTCTTTCCACCTAAAAGTTGGCCTCTGCTTAAGTGGGTTCCGTAACTTTAAACCCACTCCTGCTTTGGATTAACAGCGGGCTCAACTTTTTTGGTACTGAAACTCCAAATTCCTCCATTCGATTTAATTTTGAATTTATTGTCTTTCCAGTTGTCCCTTATACCTCGGATCAGATTCAGAAAATGGAAGAATCAATCCGAATCCGTAAGGCATATAGACCCCAGGAGCTGGTTAAATGGGTAAGAACCATTTATGCTTAGCTCCAGCTATCACTTCCTCATGAATTGAACAGAAGTTAATGTATTATAAAACCGTTGTCCCAAAAGGTGAAGGCACTAGAAGGGGAGTTATCAAGGGATGAGAGGGCGTCTCAGTTGCCTCAGCATTTAAGACAGAAAATAACGGATGATATATTGCAGAGGTTGAGGAGCTTGAATTCTAGCGGCACGAACACTACCCAGAAAGTTGCCCTGGAGCGAGGTCAGTGCATGCCTGTAATTTTGCTGGTGCGAATATAATATTTCTACCTTTCTGAACCTTGATAGGCATTTTAGTAACTTCGTTTTACTACGAAGGTTGGAATAACATTAAAGAATGTCAACGGCTATCTTTTTTTACCCGGCCAAATTCAGTTGCCATGGGTGGGATGCAGAATTTTATTATCATGTGCTTATGTATCACTAGTGTAAATCTCGAGTCGAAAGAATAAGATTATTGTTGAAAAGTACATATAGAATATGCTCATTTTGAAATTGGTAGAAGTTGATGCTTTGAACTGGACTTTCGATGAGTTGTCTTCGTACTGAGATTGTTGACATTTCAAACGTTAGACACTTCATAGCACGCATTTTCCTTTTGGGAGGAGCAGGGTTGGTTGGTTGATTGTGTGGGAAGAAGAGGATTCAAGCGTGCACCACATAACTACTGCATGGACATGTTAACATTTTTCTTCCTTGCTAGCTTCTTTATTAGATGCAAATTTTGTCGTTCAAGAATTAACCTAGCTATGCCAAATTTAAGAGGACTTCATACTAGCTCTGTGTACGTCTCAGGTCGGGCTAATATAAGGAAAAACATGCTTAGTGAGGAAATGCTCTAGTAAGGAACATCAGCAGCCTTTCTTCATTATAATTTGAACTCAAGCAGAGATTCTTTGATTTGGTTGAAATTTAGTCTTCAATCTTTTTACCCCCGTCTTCTTCTTTTTTTTTCTTTTGCCCCGGGGGGGGGGGATCATATGATTTAGTTTGAAACACATTCCTGATATTTCATATAGTTGGATTTAAGGTGATTATTAACTTCGTATTACAGTAGATAACATACAAGTTTGTGTTTCTTCCTGTATGAAAGCTTTCACACATTACCTGTATTTGAGAGATTTGAGGTTCTCTGGTGCCTGATCCTTGATCTTATGGATTGAAAACAAGACATAAGTTTGATAGTGGAGGCACGAAGAGTTCTCCATTTTTGTCGTACATTAACTCCCCCCTTAAAAAAAAAAATGGTGTAGAGATCAATAAGTAGTTATCATGGAGATCTGGATGCTTCATTCTGGTTGTAGTCATAGTATTGAGGATCTAATCAGATGTGGATATGCACACGATATCGCTCATCCTGCAAGTTTTTCTGGGGAAACCATTGCTCTGAGATGGCCAGGACATGGCTTATTGTGATTGGGTATGCTTGTGACACTTCGGCCAACAATTCTACACCACAGTTGTTTTCTTGTTTAATTGGTAGGTGAGCTGAAGGTTGAATTGCTACATTTCAAAGGCGAAACCTGGAGAGGTGAGAGTGGATGGTGAGGTTTAGCCTTCGCCACAGAATACTCAAGAGTGCTTCTTTGAATCTCTGGTTTACACCACAGCAAGATCTGGCTTTTACTCTGCTTGTTTGGCTTTCATGCTTGCTGGGGTGATGACTGATGCCATACTAGTTTGAGTGTGCAGAGTAGCGATAGAGAATGAGTAATTGTAAGGAGAAACAAAAAGTGAAACTGAGAAGTTAGGTGGAAATCAAAACAATGCCAAAAAGAGGAACTCTATATGGGAAATTGTCCATGCGCCTGTCTCTTGTTGGAACCTATCCGTATTTTGAGTCCAAACTTCAGAGGTAGTTATTATTTGCAATGCTTCTGGCATTAGAAAATGTTCATTTTCTAGAGAGCAGGGCATCTTAAATCCAACAATTTCTGCGAATTATTATAGCTGTTTTAATTTAGAATCTGGGATACGAAATTCATTCAGTTATGTTATATAAATATTAAGTTGCTAGAATTTAGTAGATTCTTTGCTTATGTATTTTTGACATTGATTCTCTCTCCTTTTCCTTTTGGTGATATTACATTTTAAACATTGCAGAAGCAGTTGAAAGTTGGCGTGAGGAAAAACTGAAAGAAGTTAAGTTGGCTCTTGTGAGATCGACTTCTAACTCAACCATTGCTCGTAAAGAGGCAGGTATGACCATGAATAGTTGCCCGGCAGTTTAGTTGCTTGTTTGACACTTTCGAATCCTTAACATGTCTTTCTGTATTACTAGTAACTGTTTCAACTTCCTAGGGGTGCTAGCAAGAGCTCTGGAGTCCGATTGGCCTGTGCTTTCTGAAGAAATTGGCCTCTGGATGCCTATTGAAGTTGCTAATGAAGAACATGATGATAAACCTGAGGATGAAGTAGATTTTGGTAATACAAGTTCTTCTGTCAATGTGTTGTTTTCTATCTTAGCGTATTATCTCTTAGTACCCTGTTTGATACTGGAAAGTCCAGCTGCAATAAGTGTTCTGTGAAAAGTTCGGCATTAGATTGGTTTGCCTGGGTGGGGGAACATGCATGCTAATCCTAGATTTGGGTGCTAGAAATTGGGAGAATTATAATCAAGTCCCACAAAAAAGAAATAATTATTAAAAGGTCCTAATAACAACCTCAACAGCCTATAATGACAAGTTCTATAATGAGAATGATAACCTCTGGGACTTGTTTTTTTAATTGTTTTCCTTGCTTGGGACCTCATTGTAATTCTCTTTTAGAAATTTGTGTATATTGTGACGCAAAAATTTATTCTTTTCATTTACTGAGTATGCATTCCTTTCAGAGGAGGAAATTCTTCCTGGCAGGCCCATGCCTCCAGAGTGCCATGCTGAACTTCACACAGATTATGATGGCGTGGCAGTAAAATGGGGTCTTACCCATCACAAAGATAGTGCAGCTGATTGCTGTCAGGCTTGCTTGGACCAAGCAAGAAATGCCAAACAAGGTGAACGGAAATGTAATATTTGGGTTTATTGCCCATCTGAGTTTGGCTGTCATTCTCCAGATATCTATCAGCACAAACATCAAGAATGCTGGCTGAAATATGTGAGTTCTACTCATGATCCTCCCCTGATATTTTGTATATGATCTGAGTAAATATTCTTGGACTATGTAAATGTGACGTCTGGGTTGGCCTGCCTGTTCTTCCTGATCTTGTTTCTTTTAGTGTTCCATCTGGCTAATATCGTCTTCCTGATGATCGTTGCCAGGCTGAGAAGCCACGACTAAATTTTAAGGATAAGTATCCTGAATCATACCGAAATTCCCACCCATCGGCACCAGTGATCGTTCCATGGGCGTCTGGAGTGGTGGGGGCATGAGTTGATCAACCAACACTGAAGGTATTATGATAAACCGGAGTCACTCTGTGGACTACAAGCACAGAAAGCTATCAGGCAAAGCTTTTATCATGCATGCCTGCGATCACACTTCTATTCTTCATCACGTTCTTTGTTAAAGAATGAAATAGGATAAGATACTTTCTGTCCCTTCCACTGGTACTATATATTGGACGGTTTGGAGGGTGGGGGAATCATTAAGAAAATGATGGTTATTTGGGGTTAGACACGATTTTTGACAGGCACACCTCTTCAGTGCATGGATATTCTTCCAAGGCCGGTCTAGCACTGGGGCAAGGTGACTTGACCGATTAGGAAAGTTGTTCTGTTGTGAATTCTTGATGGTGATGTTGATGGGGAACTTGTTAGGATGGAATATGCACTACCTAAGCTAAGTGCACTATAGAAGTGAGTATTCATGTTTAGTGAACTTCACCTTTTGACATATTTCGCACGACCATTTTTCACTGGTTTAGTGCGCCTCTCTCTGTTTTTTGGACTGGGTTTAGTGCACCTCACTTAACCGGGCATAAGAATGAATCATCATTTATGCGTGAATTATGTTTTCTTTTCTGATGATCCCTCCTCACCAAGAATTCTGTAATCCAGTCTATTATAGCGACCAGACTTACGGTCATCTGCTTCTCCGAAGCATAGTTGAAGGAGAATTTTAAAGCTATGGTTTTGCCGACATTTTTCATATGATTGGTTATCTAGTCTAAGATCTATGTTCAAACGAGAAAGGGTTTGTGCTGACTCTGTTATTGACGCCCATGCTAGAGTTCTCCGCTGATCTGACAAGAGCACAACTGATAGGGACCGTGTTGGGTTTTTTTTTTTTTTGGGCCTGAAACGTGTCGGGGTTTATTACCGAATATTAAATGAATCGGTTGGATCAATGGGTCTAATTAGTAATTTCATAAAATCTTAATATTAAAAAAAAAAATAATTTGTAATAATTTATTTATAATAAATGTGTGAAGTTACCATATATTACTTGAAAATGAAGTTGAATTGAATTTATAACTAATTTTTATATTATAGATTAGTTAGTATTCTTCTGATTTTAGTTTTAAATATAAGATATATTTTTCATATTTATCAGTTTTTTTTAAATTATTTTTATTGATATTCTCTCAATCATAATCAAGTAAAAAAGGAAGGGATGATATATTAAGGAAGATGATTATGATGTTTTAAAAAAAAACATGTTATATTTTTTATAATTAACTAATTTACCTAAATTTTTTAATTTAATCAGATTAGTTAAATATGTTTTATATTAATAACCGGAAGGTATTTATCAAGCACTATGTATACGAAAATACGGGCGATTATCTGCCCGGGGTTCTATTACAGTATCACTAACTTCCAGTCTCTCGTACCGGCCAAAAATGCAGTCTTGGACTCTTGGCTGACGTATCCCCTCTCCGAAAGTAATATACCAAAAAAAAAAAAAACAAAAGAAAAACAGTCTTTGAAACTAATATTTCGATTTGAAAATATCAGTTTTTTTTGGGCCCTGGCTGTTATTATTAATTGAATTATTCTAAAATAAAAGTTGCAGTTTTTTTTAACAATTTAATATATTGCACGTTTATCATGCCATAAAAAAATAGTGCGTTACATGCCAAAAAAAATAATTGCGCATCTAGTGAGAATTTATTTTTATTTTTTAAATAAAAACAAGATTAGGAGTGCTGGCTCCTGAACCGGTGTAGAAACTCATGGCTCTGTGAAGAAGGTTTTACTGGTAGGTTCTTGCATTCTGTGGTGGAGCCTGGGAAGGACCATACGTATGTTGTTGTGATCCGCTAGGGCAATATCCAGAAGTTGATTCACTGCATCTCTGTGACTTGAAATCCACGGCTATAAGCGGATGCGGTATGGTTGTTTCGGGTCTTCCAAGAATCAAACAAGAATCATTAACTTCGATTTGGAATGTCTCGTTTCTTCATCTTCTCCTGCTTCATGCTCCAACCGATGTCGTAGATGGTAATTTGGGGTCTTTTTATCGTCCACCGCTCGGCAAGCCCACCATGAGAATTTGACAGGAACCGTACAATCTGAAAGCAGAGTGTGGAAAAATCTCGATTGGGCAGGGATTTTTGCGATCTGCAGTATAACTCTTATCGATCGATCGGATTGTTTTGAACATACGACTTCAATTTCACATTCCTAGCGCGTGATATGGGTTCCGGAGAAGGCAAGCCCCACTGGAGTGTCTATGATGGCGTGAAGATGATAATCGCGGCGACACCTGAGGCTCTGATGGCGGAGATCGATTCGGCTATTTCCAATCTTGAATATGCTCGTGCCACATCTCTTCTCGAATCTTCTTCTACCTTTACCCCGAACCAGAGGTCTGGTGGCACTGGTGCTTTTTTGATGGCTCAATATGATGCCCGTGAGGCAGACGAAGCTTACAAAGCAGGGTGCGCTGCGTTGGCTGCTGGCAAACTTGATGAGGCTCTTCATTATTTGAACACTTCTCTTTCGAAATGCCCACCTGATAAGACCTCGGCCATTGCCAAGCTACAGGCTTTGATTTCTCTTACATCTCAGCAACTTCAGTGATCTGCCAACTGAACCGTTGGAGTTTATGTTTCCAGAACGTAGTTGGGTTTTCCCTTCTCGAACTCTACCCTGTGGTCAGATGCATGCCTCCGATGAGATAGTCTGTTGGAATAAATAGCAGTTGCAAGATTCTTTAGAGCTCTTCATTTCCAGTGGAGGACATGACTTGTATACAGCTTGAAGGGATAGAGCACTCGAGTTCACTGTTGAAAGTTTTCAGATTTAGTCCGGATCCTCAGTTCAGCCGAGATTATGGTTTTAGAGTTTTAGGGTATTATTCTTATCCTCTCTTGCGGCTCTGGCAATTTTTCCATCACAAAACATAACAGAATTGCAGTTTCAAAGGAACTGAATTGGGGAAGCACGCCTATTTTTATGAACCTTGAGTAGGGGAATTAGATATACTGATAGATCATGACAAACAGAATTTACACCGTAACCATGGGATCTCGTTAGTTAAACTTTTATTATTTTGTGCGTGAATTTGTTTGTCATATGCAAACTGAGCAGGCAAATGGATTTTTCGAGTTTGCAACGAAATTATGCAAGCTCCTGTGCCGATATTGGATCAGTTGTCAATATCCTGTTATCGGCTTCTGCCCTTGGAAACGTGTTATTTGATCAGTTGAAAAGAAGTTATTACTGTTCGTTACTTCCTTATGATAATGAAATGATTGCGATATTAACCGCATCTTTAACCTGGTTTGTAAACTATTAAATTTGGATGTTGTTGGAACTTTCCTACTATTAAACTGAGGAGCTTCAAGGAGACGTGCAAGAATAGATTTTGGAACAGGCATTACACGTGGACCCTTCTGGGAAAGTTTTCGTCTTGTCTAGAGCCTGACATTTCGTTTGGGTAACTTGACATAATGCCCTGAAATCAAGCGAGTCCACATCTATAAGATGCGAAAAAAGATTTTGCCGACGCTGTTGTTTTTTAAACTAGTAACTTCAATCGGAGACACCCAATTTAAGCAAATCAATGAAAGGACAGTATCAGTTGGGTGGTGCGTCTTTTGAACCATGACTTCAGCTTAAAGTGTATCTCTGGATAAGCTCCACAATTTGCACACGGATACAAGCACCACCAAGGCAGTCAAATAAGCAATAAAATCCCAATTGAAATTTATTGCCATTAGTTGAAATGTCTAGGGCTCTAGGCCTTTTGACTTGTCTTTACCTTAAAGGACGGAAAGTGTTAGTGATATCACTGTATCAGTGCGCTGTGAGGCCGCTATCAAAAAAAGCAGGTCAATTAAAACATGAGCAGATGCGTGAATATACAGGCATCAATGGGTGCCGTATAAAATCATATTCTGACAAATTGATCAGCAAAACTGGAACCATGGGCGTGTTTTACCATGAAGATGCTCCAAACCATACCACTCCTAGGAGATACAAATGTCTTGCAGCAACCCTGAAGGAAGCATTCTCCCATTGCCGTACGTTCCGTGGACGGCTTTCAACTGCAAGCCTCGATGAAGAGTTCCCTAACAGTGATTTTGATGACGAACAGGAAGTACGCTTACGTTACTGATCAACTTTGATAAATTTTTCCTCCTTGACTTGAAAATTTCTTCCTGATGTGAATCCTGTGATCATACTTCTGTCTTCGTGCTTTTTCAGGTGGTTGTTTCAGCGGTTAAAAGCCGAGCAATGGAGAGACAGAAGCACAAACCAGGCGTCACGAGAGACGGCTTTTCCTGGGTTTACTCTCCTGAGACAAGAGAACTGTTTATCACTCAGATGGTGACGCCACATGAAAGGGAAGACGTCGATGATGATGAAAAAGAAGAGTTCTTGTCGGTCAAAAGTTGTTTCTCATGTCGCTCGAGTGTTGTGAGTGGTGGAGAACAGTTTTATTCCGTGAGGACAAACTTCTCGCCATGTTCAAGCTTCAACGATCTTGACTTCCCTGAGTATTGGAGGCGCTCCATTATTCTGGAACTCTGTCATTGCGAGGGATGGCCATTTGGCCTCTGCAGGAAAGCTGTGTTACTACCACCCCTGCCCAAGTCCCCTTCTGATTCATGGCTGTGGCGTAAAAAGCAGCAGAGTACGAAAGATGCCTAAGGTTATTTAGCTTTTGTTGAAGTTAACCACAGTTTATGCTTCATGTATATCCCTGTAAGAAATAAATTCCGATGTAACTCGTAACACGAGACGAGAGGAGAAGAAATGTATGCGTATGAGAGTCATTGCCGGAGGTAGAGGATGAACCACGGTGCAAAATGTAAAACGCAGTTTCAATATAAAAGAGAAGGAATGGAAATGCGAATTAAAATTATTTTTTGATTTTGTTGAACAAAATAATAAAAACACGTATAAATATATAATAAACCCAGAAGATGGCGTTTGCAATGCTTTAGCAGCCAGGAGCTGTGATGGGGGGTCGAGTTGATGGACCGGAAAACGAGTAGAGTCATGTTGCCAGAAAGAGCTCAGAACGGTGAAGATAAACAGAGAAGCTTTAGGCACATCGCATCTGGCAGACCGTGGAGAAAACTGGCTCGGAAAGACGGGAACGGACGCTAAAATTGGTTCACATTTACAAGGACGCCTACAAATATGCAGATTGGGTAGCATCTTGAAGTTGCAAAAGGGCGTGGATAAGCTTACATTGACTGCACCGCATTCAAACTTGAGACGTCTTCTACATATTGGAATTGCAGCGCAGGCATACGATAGAGAGTAATCAGGTAGGTTTCTGGTGTTTTCCCTTTCGGGAGCTTTAAGCCTCTATTGTCGCTTCGAAAAATAAGCGATACTTTTTTAGACCAATCTGTAAAACCCATAAGATTAAATTAACTTTGTACTGCCCTTCATTTACTTTATTTTATCATTTAGTAGCATATTCTATATCAAACGTTTTCTGTAGCGAGTTAACTACAGGCAAGAAGGCGCTGAGCTTCGCAAATTTGTACGAGTCGCCTATGACTCGCTAGGAAAAAGAAGGATGCATTATTAATTCCAACCAGCTATGTTTGCTCGGAGACTTGTTCCTTCTTATCCTACACAAATTCCATTAAGTTCACAATCAATTACGACTAATATTAAAATATCAATATTCTCGCACAATAAGCAACCCATCCCTTCCTCTGAATCGCCCACATTATATGAAGCAGAGAGCGATAATCAACTGAGTTTCCGCTGGCAAACATGGAAGTGCTCTCTGAATACACTGAGAACCAGACACGACATTAGAAACACTGAGATGACAGACCCTAAAACACAACTGTGTCAAGCATCATTCCCAAAGTCTGCACTATGTTTGAAGACATCAAATTGGAAACATGCTCTTCAAGATGTTTTTTTGCATCTTGCCTTCCCACGTTAGCAATTGCAAGCTTCTCTGGTGGCAACTCATCTTCCTCCTGCACGGCCTTGTTGTACTTGATGGCTAAATTCAGCATCTCCTGATATATATAAATAATACGCAATCAATTGTGGGCAACATTTATATCAATACCATGAATTACTTAAATGAGAGGCCACCCATTATACAAGAGTAGAATAATTGATCCCGCAGAGTGCTTTAGGCCTTTAACACTACTTCCACCATAATTAAAATACATTAGCTATTGGCCATCGCAAAATGAAATTTCACGAATGACCATTAGGGAACACCTCTACACACATTTGGCCAAATAAGGCGTGACCTCATCCCATATGGGTGAGAGGAACAAAGTGGGACAACAAGATTATTTCCCCCAAAAAAAAAAAAGGTACATCTATTTTCATTTCATGTTACAGAAAACTTGACTTACCTGAACAGTCTGTTCGTTGGTTTTGGAATGTGCATCGAAACGCCTCAGCGTCAAACCATCAGTCCATTTCTTCTTGTGAAGATTCAGTAGCATCTTCTCTTCAAGCTCATTCTTTCTGTAATTAATGGCTATGGAGTAATAGTGTCGGTTCAAACCATGGATAAGAGCCTAAAAAGAGGGCAAGAAAAAGATGTCAAAATCAGGGGGGGGGGGGGAGGGGAGAAATTGTGCAGAAGTTTCACTTCTGAAAGATATTTGCCGAACACTCACTTGAATAGATGGTTTATTCAGATGTCCTAGGTTAGATGTCGTCTGCCTTGGTTCCTGACCCAACATCATAGTTTGTGGATTAATCAGCCGAAATGCATCAATTACAACCTTGCCTTTAACACTCTGAATAGGATCCACCACCACGGCCACAGCACGTTGATTTAAAGCCTCAAAACTCTGTATTACGTAAAGTATAAAATCAATTTATGCATCAATACTCTGCACAGGATTTGACATCATTGTTCCCCTTTCTGGTTCAGGGTCCTAGCAATGTCACAAATGCATGACATAAAGAAGTACGGGGTAAAGACAAGATGTAACCTGTTGTGTATTAATGTCAACTCCAGAAAGCCAACAACCAAACCCAGGATGTGAATGATACCACCCCACAACCATCTCTGGCCTGAAAAACCAAGACCTTACATATCAAACCCATGTAATCAACAGTGCAAAATGATAGGCCACCAACTATGAAGTTCTATTCCCGAGAGCATAAGAGGGCTGTTCTAGAAAATGAGCAGTAGGGTGACCTAGCTGCTGGATAACATAAGTAGGCACTGGAATGAGTGAGTTAGAAGAAAAATGAATGGGTGGAACGCAAGAAAAGAGGAAGTGGAGACATGAGTATCAGGAACAGGCCCCATCTTGAGCAGCCGAGGAGGGGTTTCTTTTTTTCCTTCCTTTCTGAAGAATTTATTAGCAGTAACATTAGAGGTTAAGTCTGAGTTGCAGGCTTGCAGCTGTAGCGAGGCAAGGAGCAGGGGAGCATGTGTGATTGTAAACTCAATTGCTTCAAATGAGGACGTTTTTCTGATAATCATTTTGAATTAAAAGATTTTTTGGTCTTTTACCAAAAGTGATTATTTGAAGCACAATAGAAATTGCCGCAACTACATAAACAGCTTAACTTGTGTGATCCAACTCTTGGACAGAAACAAACCATACATGTACATTTTAAATTTCAGTAAAAGAAACAATTTTCAAAAATGCAATTTGATTCCACAACCTAAGAGGATCAAATCAACCACCCTCGTGGACTGTAAATAAAATACTAAGTAAACCTTACCATTCTCTGTTAAACATGATAAAAGGAACCCTATTCATCAACCAAATGACTAGGTTATCATTAAAAAAGCCCAAGAGTGTTTCTAAATAAAATACATAAAATTAAGGTGCTTGTATGCCTAAAAGTAGGGATTTTGAATCCTATAATCTAATCTAATTCTATACCGAAAATTGTTGACAGGGATAACGAGATTCTTGCCCAACAGAAAACAGAGATTGAAGAATTATAAGAAGTTACCAGAAATCTAAGCTACTCAACAAAAAACATTCAAGCGCAAGGAAATATCGTGTTAAAGGATTCAGAAAGAAACATTCATATTTCAGCAACGATAAGAAGCAAAAAGAAGGAAAACGAAAATACCTTCCAGTCTGTTTCAGCATATCAAGCATGTTAGTCTGAAAAACATGATCGACAGCTTCAACACTAACACCGGTACCACTTTGTGGCATCGCAAAGACATCTACAACGCGGACGGTATACTCATCCACAAACTCCCCCAGCATCAAACCCATAACTTCCATGGGAACACCGGCTCTTCCTATAAATCACATCAAGTTTATCAGACGAAAGGTAAACCGCAAGCACAACCAGTACTCTACGATACTTGCGACAAGGGTTTCAAATCCGTTATATGCGTATAGACAAGGGGAGGGGAAGTTTGAGAACCCTAATCACTCCTGGAATGTAAATTTAACCCGCTAAAAAATCAAAATTCCCCAAATTCATCTAAGTTAGGATACAGTCATGAGATTCAAGAGATGTAAAGGTATGCAAAGAAAACTAACCGTGTTTGAGCATTTTGAGAAGGGCCAGCGAAGAAATATAAACCTGCTCAGAGGAATCAAGTGTCGGCGAATCAGGGGGTGGGTGCCCCAGTGCGCCTCCTGCACCTGCAAACATCCTCTGTAGTCTCTCCATACCCGATACCTCTCACTTTCCCTTCAAATCTGGAAGATAGCTGCAGATTTCTTTTCAGGCAAGATTTCCTCGACGATACTCCAACTGCGCTCTGCTTTTGAACGAGCAGAGAATTTGGAAACGCGAGTTTTATATCTTTTTGGGCTTCTGTTGTAATTTGGGCCTGGCTTGTTTTTCTAGGTTTATAAATCCGGCCCATTACTATTCAAAGGGTACCGCCTAAATTAGATGGTCATAAGCTTGATGTACTCCTGCCAGATCATTCCATTTCTTCAATTCCGCAGATCGCCTTGTTTGTTTACCAGTTTCGTATTATAGTGAGTTTGGTCCCGCCTGCCCGCCATCCTCGCCTGCGAAGACAACTAATTTCTGAAAGAAAAATACCCAGAGACTGAGGAAGACCGAATTTTCTTCTCTTTCCTGTATTTCATGAGATTCTCTTTCTTGTCCTTTCATTTCTTCTTTGTGAACTCTTCCCTTGTTTTATAAGATTCTTTCGGACCATCTTTAGGCTTGCTTATCATCAAGAGCATTTTGCCAATCACCACGGAGAAATGACAATAATACTTGCTGAAACAAAACAATGTATCGATTCTGTTTGACTTCCAGAATCAATCGTCGCTTGCTTCATCCTCGCTGTATATCTTCATCGAGGAAACCGGTTAAACCGCCCGACAACGTAGAAAATGCTCAGATAGTCCCGCAACAAGTACCTCAACATCTTTCTAGCCCTTTCTCCTCTCTCCCTACCTCATCTTTCTCTCGCAGTTCTGTTATCGCTGCTTCTGCTACTGTCATTTCCGCTTTCCTGGCCTCCATCGCTTTCCTTTTATCGGATCACCACCGTCAAAGACAATCCGATGACGAAGCCCCTAATAACCTATATGCTACAGTTGAACAAGCGATAAGCAAGTCCCGCGACTCCTACCAGAAGGTTTTCCATCACCTCAAACAAACTGGTGTGGCCGCCTCGGTCCTGTGGCATTCACTGACGTCGGTTTTGTCTTCGGCCAACCATGAGGTTCGCTCCGGTTTCGAGATTCGTGTTGCGGCATTTCTTGCAGACATTGCCGCCGCAAATTCTGGCCGGAGGGCTGCTATCGTTGGGGCGGGGGGCGGTGCCGTGTTAGATTGGTTACTTGAATCGGTGGCTGTTGCCAAAGATGGGGGTGGCACTCAAGCGGAGTCAGCAAGAGCGCTTGCTTACTTGATTGCCGATCCTAACGTATCAGCTGGTGTGCTTGGGAGGCCTCATGCCATTCCAAATCTTCTTAGGTTTATTTTCTCTTGTCAGCCTCGGCGATCGAAGAAGGTATTTCTTTCTCGTTAGCTAACCCCTTTAAATTGTAATCCTCATGAAACAATGCTTCAACTCTTAGTTTCGGATTCGCATTGGCAAACTGAACTATCAATATAGTCGATGCCAAAGCGTGTCATTTGAGTTTATTGCGATGAGCATCATATTGGCTCTACATCCTGAAGTCTGGATCTACCATGACTATAGTGATTATTTATTGAACTATATAATTTATTTTCCTTCGATATTCTTTCGGTTCCTTATTCTATATCAAACATTCTAACTTCTCTTTCTCCCTCGCAAAAGCCTAGCATTAAAAACTGAATCTAGAAAATGCATATCAATCGATGGTGACACGGAATTGTTCAAACAAAATCTCCTCATTGAAGCCTAAATTTATCGTTTGCAAAGTCAGTAATTTCTATGTTGAATTTATTTATTGTGTGCGAATTCAGTAATTTTTATATTGAATTTATTGGTAATCACCTGACTTATCTGGTATTGAAGTATTACCTTTGCTGTTCCTGCATCTAAACATAAACATTAACAGGAATTAGCATTCTGAAGTCTAAACAGTCGTCCAATCTCAGAAAATAATGATCATGTGGTGGTGCAGTTTTATTATAGTTTTTGTTAGAAATAGTTTTAAATTTGTTATTCCCATGCCCCCAACTATTAGGTCTTTGTATATAAAATGTTTCTGGTATGTCATGCCAATGCTGTCGTTTTATGCATTTTAACATTGTTTTGTGTATTTTTATTTGGATATGTTAAATTTATTATATTAATGCCAAAGCCACTTGCGGCATTGTTGATAATTTCTATTCTAGTTTTAACATTAGCAACATCAATGAACTTTTTTCTGCTGCAGCATTCAAGACGAAGTTCATTTGATATTTCTGATTCTTTAAAAGGTAGGAGCATGCTTGTGGCTGCCATTATGGATATAGTCACTTCCAGTTGTGAAAATTCAGAAGAGGTTTCTTTTAAGCCACCGTTACCTGGAAATGCTGAATTGAAAGATATTGCAGCTGCCCTGCAAGTTATTGAGGAAGGTGGTTTGCATTTAGATGAACCACGTGAGAGTGGAGATGACGAAGATGGCGGGACAGGAAGTAAAGGGATTGGGATCAAGATACTTGATGGTACTGTGGGTTTAGGCCTTTCACGGATCAGCATGTTAATGAAATTGGATAATTCTGATTCTCCTCATGTAGCACCACTGATGCTTCATACTCCTAAAACCATCATGTCAGAAAATAAGCATGACAATTCATTAGCACAAGCAAGTACGGTTTCTGCTGTTGTTCCTGGTCTCTGGGATGATTTACTCTGTGAACATGTTGCTGTTCCTTTTGCTACATGGGCATTGGCAAATTGGGCATTGGCATCGGAGGTAAATAGATGTTCTATAAAAGAGCTGGATCAAGATGGAGACGCTATCATGTCTGCTTTGACAGCACCTGAGAGATCTGTGAAATGGCATGCGAGTTTGGTGGCACGGTTGTTATTAGAAGATCGCAATATCCTTTTGAATGATTCTGTTTCTGATTGGAGTTCCAGTCTTCTTTTAACTGTTTCTCAGGCATGTAAGCATGAAGATATTTCCCTGGCTAAGGTTGCCTTATCTGCCTTTGTGTTATCCGTTGAGAGAAGTTCCAGTTCGCAGAAGATAGTAATGGAGAAGGGCCTTAATTTGATGAGAGACATTTCCAAGCAGACCACAAAGCATAATCAGGTGCAAGAAGCAGTAGCAAAAGTATTAGAACTACTGTGCACCAAAGAGCTCCATTTATCTCTTGAAGAGAGTCAGAAGTGGTCAGGCATTCTTCTTTCCTGGGTTTTTGGAAAATTTTCTTCTGATGCTTTACGGTCTTCAGCCATAAAGATTCTTTCTCAGATATTTGAAGACCATGGACCAACAACATCTGCGGTTTCTCAAGGATGGTTAACCATGCTGCTAACTGAAGTCCTCAGTTCCATCAAGAACACAAATGATAAAGGAGCCAGTCAACCTAAAAATAATAAAGTAAAGGTATAGATCCGTTTTTGTTCTTCTTTCTTATATCTGATTAGCTTGGGTTTGATGTTATTTAATAGTGGTATGTGCATGTTTCTCTTCCTCTCTCTTTTTCCTGATAGGTTGAGGTTAAGATGACATTTCACATTATGTGTTGCTGCAACTTCATTCAAACGTTTAATGTAATTTTACCTATGATAATTGGCAGACTTCAATTAATAATTCAAACATTTCTTCCGCTGCACAAGTTGCAAATCAGTTAGCTAGTGCTGCTGTTTATCTAGCAGTTAAGCAAATGGGAACTGCTTTTGATTCTGAGGATTCTTTTCCACTGGCAGATTTTCTTTCTCTGGAACCTTTAGTGGGACCATTAAAAAATTTAAAGAAAGATAATCTACCTAAACTAGATGCTGCAGATTCTGCCTCTGCAACGCTGAAAGGAATAAAAGCTCTGACTGAAGTTTGTGCCGAAGATTCTCTATGTCAAGAAAAAATTGTTGATTTGGGGATTTTGTGTTTGCTGAGGCGCTTTTTGCTGAGTGATGATTATGAGAAATTGGCCGCTATTGAAGCATATGATGCATCTAGAGCCCATGAAGGGCGGGAACAGATTTCAAATGTTGATGCGGAGCCATCTGTATCGGATACAAATGAATCATCCCATGTCCGAGTTCCACCTACGGCCCATATCCGCAGGCATGCATGTAGATTGTTGAACATCCTTTCACTCCTTCACAAAGTCCAAAAGGACATCATAAAAGATGAAACTTGGTGTAAGTGGCTTGACGATTGTGCTAATGGGAGGATTTCAGGATGCAGTGATCTCAAAATCCGAAGTTATGCCAGGGCAACACTCCTAAATATATTTTGCAATGACCAGTTTCTTAATAAGAAGTCGGGAAGTGGAAGTCATTCTGACACTGGTGTACAAACCAACAAGAGATTATGTCCTCGTTATGATGACACGATATTCTTGATAAATCCTCATCTTCCCCACTGGAAATGTCCTAAGGAAACAGACCGAGAAAATGTAATATCAAAAGACATATCTGTGGCCACTGCTGATAATGACGATGGTACGAAACCCTTGAATGACACCAACGTCTCTGGTTTTGTTGATATATCCAAAAGTGACTCTGATGAAAAGATTCCTCCATTAGATGTAGTTTTTGTCCATGGCCTTCGTGGTGGGCCTTACAAGACTTGGCGCATCTCTGAAGACAAGCCCTCAAATAAGCCTAACTTGGTTGAGAAGATTGACCAGGAGACGGGAAAGCTTGGAACCTTCTGGCCTGGTGAATGGCTTTCCAATGATTTTCCTGATGCCCGCTTGTTTACCCTCAAATACAAGGTTTGTTGTTATAAGTTTCTAAAATGCTTGTCTCATCAATCTTGCATTTTTTCAGGGGAAAAAAAAAAATCTTGATAAGCCTAATAGCAAGTCAGCGTTCCTTTATAAGTGTAAAGATATGAAATATTATTGTAATTAGTATAGGATATCAGATATGATAGCATAGGATCATATTAGATATGATACGATATTATCTCCTAATAATGAGCCATTAATGCCTAGGCTCCTCCCTTGTGTATATATCTCCTCATTCTCAATGTGAATAATACAAGAAACATATTTCATATTATTTCCAAATCAATATGGTATCAGAGCAGTCCGTTTAGGAGTAATTTCCCTCTGTTTGAACGTTGCTGCGCCCTACACGTACTGTTCCTACCGTCCAGCTTTGTGCCCATCATTAGGGCTTCTGTATTTGGCCTCTGAACGGAGCACGCGCCGGCCAGGGAGGATCGCACGGCGCCGACCGGCCGATCCCTGAAGTTTCGCGGCCGTCCGAGCAGCGCGTGACCGTCACTCGCCGTCACCCGCGGCGGTACTGTTCACGCGCCGCCGCGTTTTTCGCCGTCCGAGCAGTTCGTCGACTTCGTCTTGCATTTTCCGGCGCATCCCTGGTACTTTTCAGGTCTGGATCTGTCCCCTGTGTGTTGATTCAGAGCTGTTTGGTTACTGTGCCTTGTGAACAGTAACGTTTTCAGACTGGTATTGCTGTTCCTGCCTTCTATAGATTGTAGGAGGTGTTGTTTGGTCCCTGGAGTGATCATTTGTGGCTACTTATTCTTTCCTGTCATTGCTAGACTTATTATCTCTTTTCTATTTATCTCTCATGGGTGATACTAAGTCTACAGTTACCTCTGAGGTGGTTCCCGTAGTCGTTAAGATTACTGAGCACAAATTAAACTGGACGAATTATCTAGATTGGAGTAAAACTATTCGTATCTACTTACGGAGCATTGAGAAGGAGAATCATTTAACTGAAGACCCTCCGACCACAGACACCCGTCAATCATGGTTAAGGGATGATGCTCGGCTCTTCTTACAGATTCGCAACTCCATTGACAGTGAGATTATTCCTTCTATTTCTCACTGTGAATTTGTTAAGGAACTGATGAATTATTTAGAATTTTTATACTCAGGCAAGGGTAATATTTCTCGTGTTTATGAGGTTTGCAAAGCGTTTTATCGCGCAGAGAAGCAGGATCGCCCTCTCAAGACCTACTTCATGGATTTTAAACGGATGTATGAAGAATTGAATGTTCTTATGCCTCTTAGTACTGATCTGAAGGTCCAACAGGCCCAACGAGAGAACATGGCTATTATGAGTTTTCTCACTGGTCTTCCGCCTGAATATGAAACTGTTCGCTCTCAAATTCTGTCTGGGTCTGAGATTCCTACCCTTCAGGAGGTGTTCTCTCGTCTGATGAGGACTGAGAATCTTTCATCACTGCCTACCACTGCTCCTGTTAGTGCACTAATCAGTCGAGGCCAAAATGATGGTCGTGGAACGACTAACCGTGGGAATTCAAGGCAAGGGGGAGCGACTCCAGAGTCGAGTGGAGTGATATGCTACTACTGCAAAGAACCGGGCCATACGAAGCGTACGTGTCGTAAGCTGCAAAATAAGCAGCAACGTAATAATTCTGCACATGTGGCAACGCTAGCCAAGGACACGGTCACGATTTCCGCTGATGAATATGCCCAATTAAAATCCTCCACATCATCCGTGAGTGCTCCTGCTGCTACAGGTAATCAGGCTACTGCTCTTGTCTCTTCTTCCTCCAAATGGATCATAGATTCTGGTGCTACTGACCACATGACAGGTAACCGCCATCTCTTTTCCACTTATAATTCTTACGCCAATCCTTCAACTATCACTATTGCTAATGGCTCCCATTCCCGAGTAGTTGGATCTGGCACTATTAAACCTACCCCTTCTATTCCCTTGTCATCTGTGCTAGATGTCCCTGACCTTGCATTTAACCTGCTTTCCCCTAGTAAACTTACTCGCCAATTAAACTGCTGGGTCTCACTCTTTCCTGATCATTGCTTGATACAGGATCTTTTGACGAAGAAGATTATTGGTAGGGGCTATGAATCTGGTGGACACTATTTCCTTGACGAGCAGGGTTCGCATGCAGTAGCCTGTACCGGTGGTGTCACTCCCTTTGAAGCACATTGCCGTTTGGGTCACTTGTCTTTGTCTTCTTTAAAAAGGATTTATCCTCATTTTCAATATTTGTCATCTTTAGATTGTGAGTCGTGTCAGTTTGCTAAACATCATCGTCTTCCTTTAGTCTCTCGAGTCAATAAACGGGTTTCATCCCCTTTTGAGTTAGTTCATTCTGATGTTTGGGGTCCATGTCCTACTGTGTCCACTGCTGGTTTCAAATACTTTGTTACGTTTGTTGATGATTATTCCCGTACAACTTGGTTATATTTAATGAAAAATCGTTCCGAATTATTTTCTCATTTTTGTGCCTTTTCTGCTGAGATTAAGAATCAATTTAATTCTTCCATTGGTACCTTACGAAGTGATAACGCCAAAGAATACTTCTCTGCTTCATTCCAGTCCTACATGCTTCAAAACGGCATCCTCCATCAATCCTCTTGTGTTGATACACCAGCTCAAAATGGTGTTGCCGAACGTAAAAATCGTCATCTCCTAGAGGTGGCACGAGCACTTTTGTTTCACATGAAGGTTCCGAAACCTTTCTGGGCTGATGCTGTCTCCACCGCTTGCTTCCTCATTAATCGCATGCCCTCTTCCATCCTTGATGGTGCCATTCCCTACACCACCCTTTTTTCCTTCCAAACCTTTGTTTCCCATTGATCCTAGGATTTTCGGGTGCGTTTGCTTTGTCCGAGATGTGCGACCCTCTGTCTCTAAATTAGATCCAAAGTCTCTTAAGTGTGTCTTCCTTGGTTACTCTCGGGTTCAAAAGGGCTACCGATGTTTCTCTCCTACTCTTAATCGTTATCTTGTTTCTGCAGATGTCACCTTTCAAGAATCCGTTCCCTATTTTTCTCCTTCCACTTCTCCTGTACCTCCTCCCTCTGCGGAAGAGGATGATCTTCTAGTATACCCTGTTGTCCCACTGTCAACTCCACCACCTCCGGTTCTGGCTCCTGCTCAGCCTCCTGCACGACCACCCGTGTCTCATGTTTACACAAGACGTTCAAAGGAAACCCTTGTTACTGCACCAGGTTCTGCCCCTCCACTATCTGCTTCGTCATCAGATCCTGAGTTGAGTATCTTGCATCCTGAGCCGACACCTATCTCCCACTCCGAGACACCTCCGGTTCCTGAACCAGACCCTTCCCTTGACTTGCCCATTGCTCTTCGCAAAGGTACACGTACTTGCACCCATCCTATTTCTTCATTTGTTTCATATAACCACCTCTCCCCTATTTCTCGTGCCTTTGTCTCTTCCTTAGATTCTGTCTCCGTGCCTAAGACCCTTCATGAAGCTTTGGCCCACCCGGGTTGGCGTGCAGCTATGGAGGAGGAGATGGCGGCCCTTGACCAGGCTGGCACTTGGACTTTAGTTGACTTACCAGCAGGGAAGAAGGCTATTGGGTGTAAATGGGTCTCAACCCCTAAAACCCGTGCTGATGGTTCTCTTGATCGCCTTAAAGCACGCTTGGTTGCTAAAGGCTACGCTCAAACCTATGGTATAGATTATTCTGAGACTTTCTCCCCTGTCGCAAAACTTTCCTCTGTTCGTCTCTTTATTTCTCTGGCAGCAACTTATGGCTGGGATCTCCATCAGTTGGATATCAAAAATGCCTTCTTGCATGGTGATCTTCTTGAGGAAGTTTACATGGAGCAACCGCCAGGCTTTGTTGCTCAGGGGGAGCGTGGGAAAGTATGTCATCTCAAGAGATCCTTATATGGCCTGAAACAGAGTCCCCGGGCATGGTTCGACAGGTTTAGTACTGTTGTGCAGAAGTTTGGCATGTGTCAAAGCAAGTGTGATCACTCTGTGTTCTATCAGAGAACAGACATCGGCATGATTCTATTAGTTGTGTATGTGGATGATATTGTGATTACAGGGAGTAATTCCTCAGGGATCTCATCACTCAAATCCTTTCTTAACTCTCACTTTCAAACAAAAGATCTGGGTCCATTGAAGTACTTCCTCGGAATTGAGGTCTTGAGGAGTAAGAAAGGCATACTATTGACACAGAGGAAGTATGTCCTCGATCTGTTAAAGGAAACAGGGAAGCTGGGGGCTGCACCAAACAGTTTTCCTATGGTTTATAATCCATTGCTTGATGCTGATGGGAGCATACCAGTTGAGAATCCCATTGATGCTGCTAAGAGCAAACCGTTTGAGAATCCGGAAAGGTATCGCAGATTGATTGGAAAATTGAATTATCTGACTGTGACCCGTCCTGATATTACCTATCCAGTCAGTGTACTTAGCCAGTTTATGGTCTCACCTACTATCAGACAATGGGAAGCCTTAGAACATGTACTTCATTACTTGAAAGGTTCCCCAGGTCGCGGGATATTATACAGAAATCATGGTCACACAGATGTTGAGTGCTTTTGTGATGCTGATCATGGTGGTTCAAAAGCCACTAGAAGATCCACTACAGGATATTGCGTCTTTGTAGGAGGAAACTTGGTATCCTGGAGGAGCAAGAAGCAAAATGTGGTGTCACGGTCAAGTGCAGAGGCAGAATATAGAGCTATGGCACAATCTGTGTGTGAGATAGTCTGGATATATCAATTATTGAAGGAGGTTGGTCTTAAAACCTCATTACCAGCAAAACTATGGTGTGACAATAAAGCAGCTTTACACATAGCATCTAATTCGGTGTTCCATGAACGCACAAAACACATCGAGATTGACTGTCATTTTGTTCGGGATAAGCTCAAGGAAAACTTCATTTCAACAGGACATGTGAAATCCAGTGATCAGCTGGGTGACCTCCTTACTAAAGCTTTAAATGGGGTTCGGGTTAACTATCTTTGTAACAAGTTGGGCATGATTGACATTTATGCTCCAACTTGAGGGGGAGTGTAAAGATATGAAATATTATTGTAATTAGTATAGGATATCAGATATGATAGCATAGGATCAGATTAGATATGATACGATATTATCTCCTAATAATGAGCCATTAATGCCTAGGCTCCTCCCTTGTGTATATATCTCCTCATTCTCAATGTGAATAATACAAGAAACATATTTCATATTATTTCCAAATCAATAATAAGTATCTAACTGTTTAATTAATATTTTATGGCTTTATGTAGACTAATCTCACACAGTGGTCTGGAGCTAGCCTGCCTCTTCAGGTTAGAACTCTTCCCCATGTGTGCATGTTTTGTTTTATATTAATAGATTAAGCCATTAAGGAAAGAAGCATATTATGCTGTGCTGCACCACTAAAGCAGCATGTTTTGAGGCTTGACTGGGGGCTGCAGAAAAAATTCATTTCTAATGCCATTGCAATTTGGGATTTGCATTATCTTACACCAATTTGCAATTGCTGCAATAGTTCCCTTTTCAGGAGACTGAAGTCCTACTGCTTTTTTAAGGATTTCAGAATCCAGATTATAAAAGTTGGACATATTTTGTGTATGGCAATTTATAAAATTTTTAAATGCACAATAATTTCAGGATGTTCATATTTCATTAGTAAAAATTCTTGGAAAACCTGATCCACGGTTCTTTGAGAGCTATCTGCCACCAATTTAGCATCCCTGGGTCTTGGTGATTGAACCTTAGCTTCTATGGAAGCTCAAAGCCATGGCAAATACTTTACTTATGATTAAAGTGTGATCTTCAGTGTTTGGTCATTACTCTAGCAATCTGGTTACTTAATGATCCTTAGGGATCAAGTGTATGGTTTTGTTTTCATACTGTAATCTGACTTTAGTAAGTTTGAACTTTGAACCTGATTGGTGGGGTTACAAGTTCTGAACTAGTTTTCATCTCCTTCCTTCTGTTCCTTCATTTTCAGTTTGCCAGTTTCTGGATTTCAGTCTGCAAATGAGGGGCAAATAACAGTGACCAATTCCCCATCCCCATCCCCTCTATCCGTGCTGCATAGTTATGGTTGTCTGGCTTTTTCTACTTCTCTTATATCAGCTGTGTTCACATCTTTGTTGTTTCTTTGCTCTCAATTTACATTTTGGTTTGATGACTTCTGCAAATTTTCAGGAAGTTAGTTCCGTGTTATTGGAGAAGCTTGTTGCTGCAGGGATTGGAAATCGACCTGTTATTTTTGTGACTCACAGGTTAGTATCGTTACATGGGAGATACATCATGTGCACCCATTCCTTGCTAGCTTTCTGTATACTTATTGTTGTGATTTTTTGGATGTATCTTTTGACTGCTAAAGTCATTCGTGCTTAACAGGATAACTTATTGACTGTCAAGCGATCTTTCTCTTTACTCATGATGATCAAGTAGAACTCTAAATCAATCATGATGATAAAGTAGAACCGTAAAAGATAGTGCATGGAGAGTATTATCAATCTTCTTTCTTGGCTTTGATTTCTTATTTTGGCTTCTTTTTTTTGGGTGGGAGGGGAATACTGACTTATGGACCAGCACAATAAGATTAGTTGAGGATAGGAGCCAAAGTGAAATATTTTTATTTGAAGGAAGCAAAGTAATTTTCACAAATCTTTTTTGAGGCTGTTAAGTAAAGATAAAATGCATGCAACATTGGAGAGAAAATGACAAGGACTGAATCAAGTCAATCAACTAATTACTTTGTAGACGCGGAGTTGAAATTGTTGTAGTTGTCTACAATACGTCAGTAGAGGGGGGGAAAAGGAAGTTAAAATAACTTTTACAAACTGCTGTTAGAATTTGAACTTATTGATAGAACGTTCAATTGTCATGGTTTCAAGAATTGAAGAAAAAAATTATGAAATTGAACTTATTGTATTCATTATATGTTATAATTTTTGTCTTTTTCTCTTTTTAAAATATGGTCACCTCATTATGGTTCATTGCTTTATCTATTACTTAGTGTAATACTCTATTTTATATTAATAAGAATTAATAAGAAAATACTTATATATACTCTGGTCTTAAATATAAGATCTATTTAACTAATTTGATTAGATTAAGGAAGTTAGGTAAGTTAGTTAATTATAAAAAAATATCACATGTTTTTCCTAAAATACCATAATATCTTTCTTAATATCCTCCCTCTCTCACTTACTTGATTATAGTTAAGAGAGTATCTGTAGGGGTAATTTAGGAAAAATTAATAAATATGAAAAATAGGTCTTTTATTTAGGACCAAAGTTAACTTAACAATTAGGTCATATATTAAGGACCGGAGGAGTATTATTTTTTTTTTTTTTCAGATTATGAATATTGAAATCTCATGGGATGCACGGTTCAATGTAACGTTTTCACCTATTTATTAATCTATGTATTTTTCCATGGGCTTTTATTTATTTATTTACTTTTTATTGGGGTAGCGTTCTGCTAAGTATTATTTGGATTGTAAAACTTTTGGCCTTTTTATGACTCACCATTTGCTTGAAGTCCTTTTATTCAATGAACCAACTACTTTAAGATTTTTGTTCGAAATGCATTTGCTGAAGGTTTTTAAATCCTAATGTTGAATCAAGGAGCATTCCAATTCCATGTACTTTGTCTGTACGCTTCATGATTTAATATATGCAATTTTGTGTTGTTTGCAGTATGGGGGGCCTGGTTGTGAAGCAAATTCTGTATAAGGCAAAGGAGGAAAATTTTGATCACCTTGTGAATAATACCATTGGAATTGTAAGTCCTGTCTTCTCCATTGCATGTATGATTTCTGCCTGTGTCTAAATAACTTGTTTTAGCAAGTCCTGTCTTCTCCATTGCATGTATGATTTCTGCCTGTGTTTAAATAACTTGTTTTAAAATCTTCTTGCAATTTCTTTATTCTTGACGTTTTAATTTGGGTTTTAGGTGTTCTATAGCTGCCCACATTTTGGTAGCAAACTTGCAGATGTACCTTGGCGAATGGGGATTGTGCTTCGTCCTGCCCCATCGGTTAGTATGAAGTCACCAGCACATATTTAACCGAAGATGCTGATTTTAAAGTTGATTTCTCATTCTGATAATTGCTGGGTTTAAAAGATTTTTTTTTTCAGCATTTAATTCTTAATGTTTCATAGGTAGGAGAGCTAAGACGTGGGTCTTCAAGATTAATAGAGTTCAATGATTATATTCGTCACCTTCATAAGAAAGGAAAGCTTGATGTGCTCAGCTTTTGTGAGGTAGTCAATGATTTAGTTATTCCCCCCCCCCTCTATTTAGTTACTCTGCTGGGGTCTATTCTTGAATATGACTAGCTAATGATTGTTTTACAGACAAAGTAACTCCTATAGTCGAAGTTTATGGTGGATGGGCCTTTCGAGTGGAAATGTCCCTATTGAATCAGCATATCCTGGATTTGGTGAACTGGTGGTGAGTATATCGTGAAATCATAACTCA